TACTAGGAAACACGTTAGCTGCAAATAATAGGCAGGACAACGAAGTCACCTATAGGAGCTAATCGCCACGCCCGACGCATCGCAGGAACGACCCCGCCGTATATATTCGGCACACTTAGAAGATTTCTCTAGCATTTTATAGCGGAAGCCGCGCGACGAACAAAAAGAACATAGCATAACGTCGAAACTAAGACGATTAATAGACTTAGCTAAACGAATGCGCTTAAGGGTCTTACGAGAACGATCCTTTAATACGCGACTAGATATACTATTAGCAGCATATCCTAAGGGATAGAAAGGACGAAATAGGGAATATATATACGCGCGATAAGGGTATATTTATATACGGCGGCTAAGGCAGTAGCAGGTCTTACGGACAAGACTAAAAGGAGGGGAGACATCGTGTTACGACCACGGTTAGCGGGCCGCAGGAGAACCGGCCACGTTCACGTAACAAGGCGGCTCGGAATAATAGTCGGGACAAGAAGTCACTTAGGCTTAGCTCACCTAGAGCGTACGTGAGCTAAGTAAGCCTTATATAGATAGATCACTACTTAGGAGCATAGCTTACGAGTAAGCTATAGTAAGCTACGAAGGGGATCACGGCTAGGACCGTGATCTAAGGATAGTCTCTACGGGTATATATAGCTACCTACTTTCACTCCTTTAGATAGATAGCTCTCTAGCTTTTAATATAGATCTTTATTACGATTCTATCTCTAATTCTAATTACCTAGTTATAGTCTACGGTCTACGACCTCCGACTTATCACTAACGTAATATACTTATTATTGCTTAGACCACGCCCTATTATATCTACTAATATAAACCCCTCGATAGGTTTATCCCTTAGAAATAACACCGGTCGTTATAAGGTATAAGAGACTATAGTTAAGCTTAGTAGACCTAATAGTTATATATAAGGAAGCCTACCTAACTAATATAACTCCCTTAGCCTAAGGATATTATATAGGCTTAACTTAGGTATAGAAATATCTTAATACCCTTTTTTAGCTAGCTATATATAGTTACTATACCTATATAAGCCCCTCCCTTATCTTAATAGATAGACTAAGATATATATTACTAATTAAGCATTACTATTTATATATATATATCTCTTTATTTATATAAACGCCTTATTTTTAAGATACGTACTAACGCTAGCCCGCCCCGCTTATTTATACCGCGCCCATATAGTAGGTAGCGGTACCGCTTAAATGCCTACGCCCGAGCCCGCCTATATATATATACTATATATAAGGTAAGAAAGGCCGTATAACGTATGCCTCTTAATTCGCTTAAATAACGTATTTCCGGGCCTTAAGCTCGAAGTTAAAATAATCGGCCTGTTAATTAATCCGGCCCCTCTAGCGCTTACGGCTATATAGGCGGCGGCGGTCGCCCCTACTTAATAGCTTCCTACTTAATAAGCCCTATAACGCCTAATAAAGCCGAAGGCGCGCTCCTCTTACCGCGTCCTCCTCTTAATCCCCTTCCCCTTATATTTCCTTAGGCTAACGATCCTTATTATAACGCTATAAGAGAACGCGGGCTATAGCTAAGTTCCTCTATCTTATCTTACCCTTAGTGCCTTCGAATGCTTACGTTAAGCCGCCTCGAGCTAGCCTAACTTAAATTAGGTAGCTATAATAACCTCGTCGCCGCCGTAGCTACCTCGGCTAGCTACGATGCCTTCGCTACGAGGGAGCTTAGTATAGATAGCTTATTATTACGGGGGCGGCCGCGTATAACTATAATAACGCCGGGATCGCGGATTCGTAATAATAGCTCCTTAAGGTCCTAATAGTAATAATTAGTAAAGAAATTACTAGAAAGGGGGGGGTCTTTACTAATAGCTTCTTAAGCTATTAGTACGAGAGAATATTATACTTTTTAAGCGTTAACCTAGCTTTAAGGTATTAAAGGATCGTATATATATAAGGTAGCTTAAATTAGTATTTAAATCGCTTACTATAAGGCTATAACGGCTATAGCTCTTACGTTAGTAAGGGTATCGCGGCGAGGGCAAGCCTATATTACGTAGTAAGTAGGTTAACTACTTCGTAGGTAATTTTAACGCTAAGATCCCTAAGCTAAGTCTACCTAAGGAAATAATGCCTCTATTATATCTCTTACTAAGCGGCCTTTTATATATATATTATTTCTTTATTCTTAATTATTTATATAAGGGTATCGTAAAGATATAAGAGGTTAAAGGTACTTATAACTAAATACGACTTTATATCCTTATAGGTAGTCTCGACTAGGCTATTTACCTACTACCTAAAGTTACGATACTAGCTAATAAGGTAGCCTACCTATTACTTACGCTATAGTATATATTCGTTTAAGATATAGGTTACGATATAGCCTTACTATATACTAAAGATCTTATCGAGCCTTTCCTACGCTTTATAGAAATTCGCCTTTATCTTTACGTAAATAACGCGCTTCTAAGTAAGGAATATACCTTTACGGCTATATTTAACTTCGCCGTTTAGGTTAAGGTTTAAATTAGCCGCTATAGCGGCGCTTTACTTAGCGGCGCCTTATTCGATAGCTTCTTAAGCGAGAATAGCTTTAACCTCTAGAGGGATCTCTATATTAATAGGGTTTTTAGGGCTATTAAGATTTACTTTATCTCTCTAGCGTAACTAGATTTAAGCCCGAATATTACTATTAACGTAGAATATATAGAGTTATTATTATATAAGATAGAAAATATAAAGAAGGGCGTTTTTAAGGGCAGCTTCTTTATCTATAATAACTATATTAGGCTCTTATATATTAATCGCCCTACGAAGCTCGTTAAAAGACTTATAAAGCTATTAATATACCTCCTCTTTCTCTATATTAATAAGGCTAAAGGCAAAGTTTACTAGAGACTTTTAGTTAGTAACCCTAGTAACCTAGAAAAAGAAGAGCTTAAAGCGGTTTATCTTTTATATATTATTAATACCGAGAACCTTAGGGAAACGTTTTTATATTTTTTAATACTATAAGTAGGTCTATAATACGCCTTAAATCTTATTTTTATTATATAGGTCGAATTTAACGTAATAAGGAAGATCGCTAGCTTAAAGATACTATAAGAACGCTTATATAGCTATTATACCTCTATAAGTAGTAAAACGGATCTTTTAGCGATCGTTATAGATATCTTAGATACGAAAGAACGCTATAGAAGGCTCGGCCTTATATAAAATAGTCGATATCTCTTAAGCTAGCAGCGCTTTATATTAAGAGAGGTTCTGCTCGAGAGCTTACTATATTACGGTCTATCGGCGATAAATATTATACGCTAAGGGATTAAGAGATAGCCCGTAGTTATAGTAGCCCTTAGTAACTCGAAAAGTCTACTACTAAGCTCCTTCTTCCTCGTTATATAAGGCCGTTACGACGAGGCGAAAAGGGCAGTTAAGCTTCTAGGTAGACGGCTTACGTAGCCCTATACTAGTAGAAGCCCGCCGCGGGCCACGATCGCATATAAAGAGGACTCGGGTTATAAGGGAGATCCCGTTAATATCTCGCTTATATAAGCTTAACCGCTTAACGACGGCGGCACCGTTCTCGCGAAGGAAGCCCTAGACGAAGTTATACGCCTTATCGTAGGTTTCGAAGCTTAGAGACGGCGGCAAGGGCGGGATAGTATCTCCGCGTTCCTCGTTAGTATCGTAAGATTTATTATCGCCTTAAGGTAGCGTAGGTGCATTAAGGAGGGAGAGAAGGGGGTCTATCGCGGCGGCGGCGATAGCTTTAAATTTAGTATATATATATAGAATATAGGTAGGATCTTGTGTGTGTATGTGGTGTGTGTGTGTAGGCGGGCTCGGGCGCGGGCATTTAGGCGGTACCGCTACCTGCTATGCGGGCGCGGTATAAATAGGCGGGGCGGGCTGGCGTTAGTACGTATCTTAAAAATGGGTCGTTTATACGAATAGAGATGTGTGTGTGTATAAATAGCAATACTCTACTAATTTACCTTTCTATGCCCCTATTTCTTCTACTATGCTCTCAAGCCACTGCTTAAGAATATCTTAAAAATAGGGCCTTTATATAAATAGCGATGTGCCTTTATATAAATAGTATTACTCTTACCATGCCCCACCCCCCTTTCGGTAACACCCACCTTTCGGTAGCGCAATTGAAAAATTCTCCACCAAAAGTCTACCATTTGAACTACATGAAATATGATCAGAACTTAACATTATAAACACAAAAAATATATCATTCCGTAGAGAAATGGACGCTCTTATATGTACCGGCGCTTTTACCATTCGCCCGGATCTGGTGGTGACTGGAAGGGCTTCAGGTGCCACCTTGACTTCAATCACTGAAGCTGTCTCCACCTCTGAGACCGCCTCCTCCTCTGTGTCAGAATTCAGCACAACGGCTATCTCTTGGCTTTTAATTTGGGGAATGGCTTCCTCAGCCACCAAAGCTTCACTGAGAGTCATGAACCGTCTGTTCGGGTTCGGAATTGCTCTCCTCTTCTTGCCTCTCTGCAGCCGGGCCACTTCTTCCTCTAGCTTCGCGATTCTGTTGCTGTGCTCGGCAAGCGTCTGTTCTGGGCTTCAAAGCCTCTAGCTATCACGGCGTATCGTCTCCGGGTGCCAGGAGTCTTGTTCTTTCCGAAATCGCGAATCTGGCGGCTGTTTCTTGGCGTATCATCAGAACCCAAAAATGGCGCGGACTTTGGAGACGTCTCTACAATGTCCGCGTGAATTTCTGGATGCCGCAATGCCTTGGATCGTGAGATCGGCCAATTCCCAGTGACCCTCCAGCCGGACAATATATTCTTTGCCGTCATTCCAACCTCGCGCGCTTTAGCATATGCCCGTATAAAATTGACCTTATGAACAGGCGCAGAATCGGTCAAACAGGTCAATTTCTGAAGTTCTTTCCGGTAAGCTGCCTTGAGGCATTGAATACACCGTTATCTAACGGCTGGAGGCCATGAGAGCAGTGGGCAGGAAGGTAACAGCAATAAACGTTGTTCAAAAGCATGTGGCCATCCATGCATCCTGGTCTCGGTTAACAGTAATTCCTACAGAGGTGGATAAAGAAACGCACCGTTGCATGACTTCCATGTCCATCTAATATGATCAGTCTAGCATCTGAGGCATCGGCTGGTCGCGTCTGGGGCAAAAGACCCCTCAAGCCACTCAATAGCGATATGGTTGTCCGTCCATCCGTTGGGCGACGTTATGTAATGCCAGTCGGCTATTTTGCCGAATTCCGTCAAGAACCACTGTTTCTGAAGCTCTTTGCCCTTAAAGATAATGCCAGGGGTAAGGACACGGCCGTCCGCGGTGATAGCTTCAATAAATGAGGTCCAGTTGCGGGACTGTGGCCCTTTCAGAAGGGCCTTCCGTTTTGGGTCTGCACTCCCAACCACAAGACTATCCAAACCTGGCAAAAGAGTCTGGTTAGTAAAAGTAATGAAAGACAAGCCAAATACTCACCAAAGCCAGACATAATACCGCCTTCGTCAACATTCACGGTATTTTCTGGTTTAATCCATCCATACTCCTTTTCCTGATATCGAAGAACCAGTGAACCGCCCGAGGCGTAAAAGCATTAAATCGGTTAGCTTCCTGACGTCTCCCACGCTTGTTCTTGATGTCCGGATGGCGATTGATGAATTTAGAGACCCAGTTGCGCCCCACTGTCCGCTCGTTGTTCAGTTGCTTTATAAGAGCCTCCACACATGCGCGGATCTGACTGTGGAGGAGCATAGCCGAGAGACTCTTGGCGGAGGATCCAAGAAACCAAGCGAGCTTCCTGAGACTTACTCAAGAGTTGACGAGGCTGGATCTGATCAGCCAGGGCTACCTGGCCTTTGAGTCTGTCGGAAATAGACTGCTGAGGTATGTCATACTTTTGGGCGGCGCGGTACTGCGACAAGCCGTTTTTGTGACATCAATTATCGCATTAGCTATAATATCCTCCGTATAAATACCCGAGGCCGCTTTAAGGTCATTTTGGTCATGTGGTGGAGGAATAACGAGAAGAATCATCGTCAGGAGGCGGAAGGAGATTAGGGGTTGGATGGTAATTTCGCGTGCAAGGTACGCACAGGCCGCAGACCCTGTACAAACATTCAACCATCGAAAAGTAGAATTCAATCAATCCACTATCTACTCCAAGTGACGGCTTGTGAATATCTTCAAAGCTGGCTGGAATCCGTGTAAGTGAAATTGATGGTTTTTGGTGGGGATATTTTCTAATGCGCTACCGAAAGGTGGGTGTTACCGAAAGGGGGGTGGGGCATGGTACCTTATCCCTCTTTTATTTGCAATAGCAATCCCGTATACAGCGACGGGCCAAAAGGGGAAGGGGTTTGCCTAAAGCGGAAGGCGGTGGGGGGCGGCGGGGAATTTGCAACGACCGACTTTACTATGCTCAGACTCAGAAGCTCCTTTCAGAACAACCTGGATTCGTCTCCGAAGCGCCCTACGAGTCCCTCAATGCCGAGAATTAAGGGCTCCTCGTCGGCAAGTTTTCCGATGAAGCAGCCGCTCCGAAGTGGCGACTATAGAATGAGAACTTGAAGATATAGAGGTCTGCGAGAAGGCTCATTTTCGAGGATTATCGGCTTCGTTGCGGACCTTCCGGCTTGCCAGACGCTGTGGCATCAGAGGATCGACAGTCGGCTCAATCGGCGGTGGTTCTCTATGAGTGCCCAAGAGTAGCAACAGAGGACGCCAGATCTCTACAATCGAGCACGATGGATGAAATGTGCAAAGGAGAGTTGCTGAAATCCGATCTCCGCACTCATCTCAAGGACTTCAGAATCTACCAAAGCGAGCAGAGCATCATTTGGCTCAACGGATGGGCATCGATCCAGGCGGCGAGCGAGTTTGCAGGATCGATCGCTCGTGTCGAAGGTGATGAAGAGAATATATTTCAGGTAGTACGCGACTACGGCAAGCATGACCGTAAAGACGCACCGCCTGGAGCGGACGAGGCACAGGAAGCAAGTATCAAAGCATGAAGGAGATACCGCCTGATAGTTGGGCTATCTCTCTACAGAAACCTGACGTTTCAATCAGGTGTGAGGTAAATGAAGCACAGGTCTGCTTCAGTCGGGATGGTCGTTGAGTGCCTAGGCTCGAGGAGAGCGACCCGCATGGTTCACAGACTGGGAATGGGTGCAATATACGAGTGTCTCTGTCCGCCAACACTCAACCTGTTGCGACGTTAAATCTCGGCTCGTGACGCATAAGCCGACATACTTACATGGGGCCTTGACCACCATGATGCTCCGCAGCCCCGACCTCTACTCCATCGGATGGATCGCTACCCTGCCCATCAAGCGCGCAGCAGCAACGGCTTTACTCAACCAGCGCCATGAACCTCCCGCCGGCTTCGAGCAGCATCAGTCCGACACGAATTCGTACACATGGGGCAGAATGGGCGAGCATAACGTGGTCATAGCCTCGCTTCCTGCCGGCATGCCCGGAAACACTTCCGCAGCCACCATCGTCTCGAACCTCCTCTCATCTCTACTACAAATTCGAATCGGTCTGCTCGTCGGCATCGGTGGCGGCATTGCTCGACCAGACCAAGACCGGGATATCCGGCTCGGTGATGTCGTCGTTAGCCAGCCCAAGGGAACCCACGGAGGCGTCGTCCAGTATGGCTGAATGGCAGGGCGGAGACGGGCAAGTCTACTATATCCCGAACTTTGCCCGTACTCTAGCTATAGACGCTCTCTTTGGTGCCAGCTTCTTCTTTAAAAGGGGAGAACTCGACCGATCGAGCATGTCTAAGTTCTTCTCTACCACCGTGGCAGATCTAACGAGGAGCGTACCCGCCATCGCTCGGCACGTCAAAGAAGCTATCGAAAATGACCCTACTATCTTTAGAAAAGCTATGTCAGAGCAGTTCAACAAGCTCATTCGGCACCCTATGGCTGTAGGCTTGCAGGATACACTACTAAGGAACCCGCTCGTCGTTGTTGTCGATGCTTTGGATGAGTGCGAGCGAGAGGACGACATTAGCATCATGATTGAACTCTTTTCCCGCGTCAAGAATCCAGTAGGTATTTCGAATCTTAAGTTCTTCTTAACGAGCCGACCCGAGCTGCCAATACGTCTTGGCTTCCAGGCCATCGAAGGCACGTATAGGGACTTGATACTTCACAAACTACCTAAGCCGGTCATCGAACACGATATAACAGTCTTTTTGACGCACCAGCTAGCAAACATCCGAGACGAGTTCATCGTTTCGGTTTCTCAAGACCGACAACTACCAAGAGACTGGCCGGGCCAGTTCAACATCCAGTCTCTTACGCAGATGGCCAGCCCGCTATTCATCTTCGCCGCTACGGTATGTCGTTTTGTTGCCGATCTGAAAATCAGATCGCCGGACACGCAGCTTGGCGAGATTTTGCTTGAAGGAACCAAAGTTCAAGAACCAGAGTTAAATGCGACGTATCGGCCTGCGCTTAACCAGCTGATTGAAGGCGTGGTGGAGAAGCAGCGGGACCGCATTCTTCAAGAGTTTCGTGTCACCTCGTGTTGGTGTGATTCATTCGAGCAAGTAGCTCTCCAGCACCGGCACACAGATGCGATCCCTGAATGTCGCCTGGGGGAAAACACGTTCGCGGTCTGCACCGCCTTGCCTTGTAAGCCGCCTGGAATGTCGGGTCCTGCTCTGCCGTCTCATCCCAAAGCTGTTGTAATTAAGCTTGCCTCTTCGAAGACCTTCACCTGTAGCAACAGGAACGCTTCCGAGCAGTCCGAGCCGTGTTCTTGACGCGGAAATTGCACCATCCGCTATCAACTGCATCATCCGTCCTTGTTCACGCTCGTCGTTGATGTCTTAACTTATCTGCATCACATTTGCCTTCCTTTCGGGTCAATCAGAAGAGGATTACTTATAGGCACTAGAGCACCTTGGGTCACTTTATCAGCATAAGCTTCTCTCGGTCATAGATGCCTGGCTGTGATGAACGCTGGCTGCTTTGACGGTTATCCTATTTGGGCTGTAGCCAAGGCGCGATGGCTTCTGACCCTTTTATCATTGGGAAACTTGCAACTTTGGCCCTCTGCGCCTATAAGTAGATGTCTAACCGACTAGACTTGAAAACGGACTCAGCATAGGCTTGTTAAGTATCTATTGTCGCTTAACCAGCTGCAATAACGGCCCCCTTTCAACGTCGACCAAGACCTGCTCGTCTGTCATGACAAGCACTCGAGAATGCTCTCCCAACCTGCGCGCGCCCGTCTGCCCACCGCTGCAAGCCTCGGCCGCGAGCATTTGCCAGACAGCCACCAGCATCAGACCAAAAGGCCCAGGCTGAGCCATCCGTCTTTCCCTCCAGCCCGCTTCTGGGACTGTATTGGGGGGCGAGGCCCGAGGGGGCGAGAGGAAGGGGGACGAGAAGGGGGGGATGCAAGGAGGAGAGGAGGCGGGTGTCCTCCGAGGCGCTCAACGAGCTTACTTTTGGCGCATAATATTAAGCGACTTTTCTCTCTGTTTGTCCAAAGTCGGCCGTTCATACAGCGTATACGCCCCCGAAGTCTGACATGATCAAGCTGTGCGACGTCAATATCTTGCACATCTATGTTACATACTTTGCCTCTCCTTGCATACCACGCTATCGTACAGACGATGCCAAGCGTTGGAGGCCACCGGCTGCTTGCCGCGCCCCTTTTATCGAATCTCAACCCCCAGTTCCCTCACGAGGGTCTGCCTCACGCGCCCGTGCAGTCGGCTGGCCTCGGCATTGGTCAGGGTGCGCTCGAGGCTGCGGTAGATGATGCGGTAGGCCACGCTCTTGCGGCCCGTCTGGGGGTGGGCAAACTCGTCGATGAGCTTGACGTCCTCGACAACGTCGCCGGCGGTGCTGCGGACCAGCTCCATGACGTCGTTTTCGTGCAGCGCGCCCTTTGTGTTGCCGCCTGCGGCCGACGACGACGCGGCGGCGGCCGGCAGCCAGAAGGAGACGTCGCGGGGGCACGGCGGGTACTTGGAAAAGGGCACGAACCGCCGCAGGATGTCGGGCTGGTCCGACACGCCGTCAAACTGCGAGAGGAAGCGCTGGTCGCGCGACCAGAACAGGCGGATGTCGGGGATCTTGAAGAGCAGCATGGCGATACGCTCGAGGCCGAGGCCAAAGGCCCAGCCCAGCTGCGACGGGACCCCGGCGTTGGTGTACAGGTCCTGCTTGACGACGCCCGAGCCCAGCACCTCGAGCCAGTTGCCGGCATAGTAGACTTCCAGCTCCCACGAGGGGCTCGTAAAGGGGAAAAAGGCCTCGACCCAGCGCATCCGCAACGGCTCGTCCACAAAGTCGGGGTCGGCCCTAGAGGCGGCGGCCTTTGTCCTGGAGAATACGTCGACAACCATGTTCTCCAGCGAGCGCTTTAGGTGGTTGCCGATAGCCTCGGCCTCGTCGGGCGAGTGGCCGTCTTGGAGAGGGTTCCTCTCGGGGTGGAAGGGCGGGTTCGGGTCCTTGACCTTGATGTTGTGCTTGGGGAGCATCTCCATGTCGCGCCGCACGGCGGCCGCGATGTCGCCGCCAGGGACCGTGTTCCGGTCCCACGACCTCGCGCCCTCCATCTGGTGGAAGACGGGGTAGTGGCTGCGGTCAATCTCATCGCGCCGATATACGTCGGCCGAGACCAGGTAGCCGGCGCTCTCGTTGGCGCGAAACGTCTCGGCCTGGTGCGCGCTGGTGTGCGTGCGCAGCAGAGTCGTCTGGTTGATGTAGTAGGTGTCGGTGAGGGCGCGGCCGGGGTGATTGGCCGCGAAGCCGAGCGAGTCAAAGTTCTGGTGCGTCGACACGACGGGGCTGTGCTCGTTGTAGTGCTTGAAGGTGGGCGGGGGGAAGTGTGATTCGATGAGCTGGCGCGTGATGGCGAGGGGGTGGTCGCGCTGGAGGTGAAGCTGTCGCGACGTGGCTTCCAGGACATTGGGCGGCACGTTGAACCACGACGGGTCGGTGTCGTAGGTCTGGCCGCGGATGTGCACCGACGAGGGCTTGGGCTGCTTCGACGGACTCGCCGCGGATGCTGCTGGGTGCTGTCAGCGCTGAGCATGCGGTGCATGGAGATGCGGACCTGAGGATTGGGAGCGGGCGAGATGTCGGTGGCTCAGGGTCGAGGGCCGCGAAGCTCTGCAGCCCAGGCCCGTAAGGCCGCGGGAGCAAGCACCCCGGATTGACATGCTGGCTGGGTCTCAGGCCTCGGGGTGAAGCATCTCTGGCCGGATTGGAGCTCCAAGATGGAGGTCGAATTCTGCGCCAGCATGTCTGTTGGGACTCTGCCTATCCTACCCTATACCACATGTTGAGATTTGCTCCCGCGCCCGCATGAACAGACAAAGATAGTTTGTCCATCAACTTAAGCTCCAGGACAGCATCGGCCATACGGTGAGCCGTATTACAGCCCCATGCGCATGAATGACATGATACGGGCTGAGTTTGGATGAGTTTTGTGAGATTTGAGGGTGCCCTGGATAAAACCTCTGGGCGGGACAGAAGACTCAAGGTTGTCACTGAATACTTTTCAAATCTCAGTTTCCCTCAAAAGTTCTCGCGTGTAAAATTCAAGGCAGTCAATATCTCAGTCACAGCCCAATTACGGTGTTCATTGCGGTTCCCAGCCTCACCAGGTCAAGTTGCGTTGCATGAATTCATTATCCAGCATGAACCGGCCGCAGACTGCCACTCATCAAGGCCAACCGCCCCTCCTCCCCAAACAGGAAAGAAAAGATTGAAGAGATAAACAAAGAGGAAAATAAAACAACAAATGAAACACTACAAAAATACATACGTCACCGCCTTTGCACGGCACTTTATTCTGCCCGCCGACGTCAACGCCGATCCTCGTAATAAACCCTGCAGATAAGCAGGAAAAAGGCCAAAGGAAGGGGGAAAAAAAGTCTCACGCCTAAAATCCCGCCTGCTTTTTCCCGCCCAATTGCCTCTCCCCAATCGCTCTGGGAACCACAGCTGCGAGTGCGCGCCTTGTCTGCGATTTCCCGCGTGCAATGCTGCTGGAGCGGTTGCGCTCGACGACATGATGGCAGCAGCAGCAGCCGGCGGCGGCGAGGATGCGGCCGCGGCGCCGATCTCGGGCTCCTCCAAGACGGAGCATGGCCAGCCGGACCGGACGAGAAAAGGCCCTTCGATGCGGTATCCGTTTTGGTTCGGGGGCAGCGCGAGCAGCATGGCGGCGTGCGTCACGCACCCGCTCGACTTGGGTAGGTCTTCTCGCCGTCTTGTTCCTCCATGAAGCTCTGCTGATTGCGTGCCTCAGTCAAGGTACGACGGCCGGCTCGCACACGGAGACACACACCCGTCCTCCCCCCTCGTGTCCCCCCCAAGAGCCCAGCGAGGCCCCCCTAACAGCGACGACAGGTGCGACTGCAGATGCGACAGGGCGACGCGCCGCGGACCATGACGGGCACCTTTGTGCACATTGTCAAAAAGGACGGCCCCCTCGCCCTCTACAGCGGCATCTCGGCCTCGCTGCTGCGGCAGCTGACCTACTCGACGGTCCGCTTCGCCATCTACGAGGACCTGAAGGCGCGCCACGTCGCCCGCCGCGGCCGCGACCCCTCCTTCCCCGCCCTCGCCGCCATGGCCGTCACGTCGGGCTTCGTCGGCGGCGTCGCCGGCAACTTTGCCGACGTGCTCAACGTGCGCATGCAGCACGACGCCGCGCTGCCCCCCGCCGACCGCCGCAACTACCGCCACGCCCTCGACGGCCTCGCCCGCATGGTCCGCGACGAGGGGCCCCTGAGCTGCCTCCGCGGCTGGCTTCCCAACAGCTCCCGCGCCGCCGTCATGACGGCCGGCCAGCTCGCCACCTATGACACCTTCAAGCGCCTGCTCATGAACTACACGCCACTCGGCGACACCCCGACGACGCACTTTACCGCCTCCTTCCTCGCCGGCCTGGCCGCCGCCACCGCCACGAGCCCCATCGACGTCATCAAGACGCGCGTCATGTCGTCGACGCAGAAGCAGGGCATCGTCCGCCTCGTCGGCGACATCTACAGGTCCGACGGCATCGGCTGGATGTTCAAGGGCTGGGTGCCCAGCTTCCTTCGGCTTGGGCCGTGAGTCGCTCGCCTCCTGCTGCGCCATCCACGTGCCGGGCCGATACTGACTCGGCCACAGACACACCATTTGCACGTTTGTTTTTCTGGAAATGCACCGCAAGGCATATAGAAAGGTCAAGGGATCGGACGACGAGAAGCTGTGAGACGGGATACCAGGTGGGTCACATTCAGGCGTTTTGCTTAGAGGCGTGCATTGCGCATATAAATCAAGCGGCGTTTGTTGTCTTTCCGCCTCACCGCTCAGCGGCTCCTTTCGCTTGACGTTTTCGCTCGACACTGCGCGATGATACATCGCAGAACCGACACGGGGCTGCCTTGATTGCAAGATTGATGCCCATCCCACATGCATCTTCTATCGTGCCGTCATTACCTTGTTACTGTACATGTGAGGTCCCTCGGACGTTAGAGAAAGCTCCAGGAAACGCCGTCACTGCCACGAAGACTGCCCGTACGGCGTCGTGCTGCCGTAGGAACCACCACCGCCATACGAGGTCCCCGCCCCTCCGTAAGACGTGCCTCCGCCGCCGTACGAGGTGTTGCCGCCTCCGTAGGCCGTCATGTTGCCGCCGTACGGGGTCGTGGTGCCCTGATCCTGCCAGGGCGTGGTGCCTCCGTCCATGTTCAGGTCTGGACTTCGCGGGCCGTCAAAGTCGGCCTCGTCGCCGCCGTATTTCCTGGGGTCGAGCCCCTTGAGGAGAGCGCCGATCTTCTGCTGCAGGGCTCTTATCCCTCCTTGCACGATTTGGTCGGGCTCCATGGTGCCGGAGGTCTCCACCTCAAAGTAGAATCTGTCGGGGACGGCGTCGTAGTTGAACGGTTCGCCTTCTTGCGGGGGCTCCTCCCACTCTGCGTATTTGCTCTTGGGCCTGCTATCTGTTAGACTGTGCGCCGTTCCAATCGTGCACCGGGGATTACGCGCCATTCCTTGATGGGATCCGTGTTGTTTTCATACCACATGTCGAGGTGGTGCAGCTTGTTGTGGGGGTCGTACTCGAAGCCGACGGCCGACGTCGGCATCCACTTGGCATGCTCCTTGGCGATGCCCTTTTTGGCTATGCACGTCAGTTTCAGCTCCTGGTCTTTGCGCAGCTTTGCAATCAAGCAGCCGAGGCCCTCGGGATCGGCGATGACGGGGCTGCCGACGGAGCTGCCGTGGCGGCCGTCGGCGACGAGGTCGCGGGCGTACACCTTCATGATCTGGTCGCTGGTGCACTTTGCGTGCAGGGTGAGGGTGACGCTGCACTGCTCGCAGTACTGCTCGCAATCGCAGTCGCGCGAGTAGTTGAGCTCGTTGACGCCCTTTGAGTTGAGAGGCACGAGGCCGAGGCGGTGGGCGATGAACTCGTCGGCGAGCACCGAGCTGTTGATTTCAATCTCGACCAGGTCGACGGCGATGGTGGGCACCTCGGCCTGGATGACGCGCCGGAGCGAGTTGGCAAACGACAGGTTCGTCTTGGACAGCTCAAAGTCGACGCGCGCGCCATCGGCCTGTGCGGCAGCTTGTCAGAGGATGCGCGCGTGTGTTTCTCCTTGTCCTGCCTACCGCTGAAATCTTGACCTGGGGCTGCTCGGGCTCGCCGTCCATCATCATGGGGTCGTAGTCCATGCCGTCCATCGTGGCCGCGGCTGCGACCTAGGCTAGTGAAGAGGCGCAGAGCTCCGGCGAGCCATATATGTATATCTTTTGGGTGCCGAGTCGGGACCGTCCGTGGTTCGTTTGTCGCTTTAGTGGCAATCGAGGTGAGGCGTGATGAGCATTTCCATGTTGGCGCGAGGAACCCTTGCATCTTCTACTTGTGCTGTCGGACGGACTACCGATAATCCGGAGCCTTATCAGATTGCATGGGGTACGATAAGGAGCCCCTCTAAAAAAAAAGAACCACCAACTCCACCATCGTCGTCGCCTCCGGTCAGCGAGAGAACCTACACCCTCTCCAACAACGCAAGCATGAAGATCAAGGCGCTCAGCCGCCCTGTGTCGGCGCACCAGACGCCCGGGTCCGACGTGTCCAAGCAGCCGCGCAACCTCGACTCGGCCCTGCACCCCTTTGAGCGCGCCCGCGAGTACCAGCGCGCCCTCACCGCCGTCAAGCTCGAGCGCATGCATGCCGCGCCCTTTGTCGGCCAGCTGGGCCGCGGCCACGTCGATGGCGTCTACTCCATGGCAAAGGACCCCAATTCGCTGCAGCGCCTCGCCAGCGGCAGCGGCGACGGCGTCGTCAAGGTCTGGGACTTGACGGACCGCGACGAGGTGTGGCACACGACGGCGCATGAGAACATCGTCAAGGCCCTCGTCTGGACGCGCGACGAGAAGCTGCTGACGTGCGCTGCCGATCGCACCGTCAAGCTCTTTGATCCCTACAACACCCGGAGCGAGGCGGCCCCAATCTCCTCGTGGCTCGGGGCCGGCGCCTTCACGAGCCTGTCGCATCACCGCTCGCGCAATGCCTTTGCCGCCGCGTCGGGCGTCATCTCCATCTACGACCTCGAGCGGCATACGGCGGCCCCCGAGACGCTGCAATGGCCCAAGTCGACCGACACGGTTACGCACGTGGCCTTCAACCCAGTCGAGACGTCGGTCCTGGCCTCGTGCTCGACGGACCGCGCCGTCGTTATCTACGACCTGCGCACCTCGACCCCCGTCACCAAGACGGTCCTCAAGTTCGCCACCAACCGCATCGCCTGGTCGCCCATGGAGGCCTTCAACATGGCCACGGCCTCCGAGGACCACAACGTCTACCTCTTCGACATGCGCAAGTTTGACCGCGCCCTCAACGTCCTCAAGGACCACGTCGCCGCCGTCATGGACGTCGAGTTCTCCCCGACGGGCGAGGAGCTCGTCACCGCCTCGTGGGACCGCACCGTCCGCCTCTGGACCCGCGACGGCGGCCACTCGCGCGACATTTACCACACCAAGCGCATGCAGCGCGTCATGGCCGCCGCCTGGACCCCCGATGCAAACTACGTCCTCTCGGGCTCCGACGACGGCAACCTCCGCCTCTGGCGCGCAAACGCCTCGGAGCGCCAGGCTGTCAAGTCGGCCCGCCACCGCCAGGCCCTCGAATACAACGCTACCCTCGTCGGCCGCTTCGCCCACATGCCCGAGGTTCGTCGCATCAAGCGCCACCGCCACGTTCCAAAGGTGCTCAAGAAGGCCGGCGAGATCAAGGCCGACGAGATCAAGAGCATCAAGCGCCGCGAGGAGAATGAGCGCCGGCACACCAAGCAGCAGTTTGAGAAGCGCAAGAGCGAGAGAGAAAAGATGGTGCTGGCGCGGGAAAAGTAGGCTGCACATGTTTGCGGCTTCGTATTGGTCTATGCATGGCACGGCGTTGGGGCGATTTGCTATGCGTAACGGGTTCGGGCATCGGATACCGTGGTCATTCACGGCTGGCAGCCTTAGTAGACACTGGCTTCATAGATGGATGGATGAATCAAAAGGTGGCTCGCAGCTTCAAGACTGGTTGTCTCGGACACGAAGTTGGAATCAAAAGTTACATTGCCCTGCCGCATCACTTGATGGCTCAAATTCTTGCGTAAAGCGCGACATTCCGGCCTATCTGCGTGCCGTGACAGGTCGATAGACCTGTCACTAGGTACATCATTCTTCAGCACGGCCTGGATCCCATCCATCAAATCTCAAACGCCCGAGCCCATGGTATTCATGTACACCGAATTCTCGCATCTCTGCCCTCAGGATGCAACGCCGCTGGCTCTGTGCGCCAGATTGGGTATATGGAAATCAACAATCGCCCCTGCGATTCCCATGTATAAGTGTTCCGTCATCGTCTAGTCTGTCGTCAAATCGCCCGTCTCATGGTCTTTTCTGTAATCGTCGTTGTACAAGTCCGGATCCGTGGTCCCGGCCACGGCTCACACACTCCCCCGCGCAGCCTTTTGCGGCTTGTAGTTGGGCAGCTCCTCGAACCAGCCGCGGGCCTCGTCGTACTTGTAGGCGTGAAAGGCGATGCCGTAGGGCTTGGGCTCGATAGAGTAGAGCATGCCCAGGGGGACGTCCATGTCGGTAATGTCGTCGCGGGTCAGGTCCATGAAGTAGGCCATGAGGACACGGCAGACGGAGCGGTGGCCGATGATGAGGAGGTGGTCGGTGATGCGCTCAATCTCGCGCACCATGTCACGCAGGCGGCTGATGATCTGCAGGTAGCCCTCGCCGCCGACGCCCGGGTAAATATAGTTGAGCTTGTCCTCGGAGCGCTTGTGGAACTCTTGCGGATAGCTCGTGGCGATTTCCTTGTACGTCATGCCCTCAAACTGGCCCGTGTTGAGCTCGTTGAGCATCTCCCAGTTCTTGACGTCGTAGTCGTCGTCGACGTCAAAGTACTCGGCCGTCTCGACGCTGCGCCGCAGCATCGACGTCCACACGCAAAAGTTCTTTTCGTCGAGGTCGCGGTTCATATCGGGGTAGGGGGGCGTGTTGTCGCCAGGCTGGGGCGGGAACGAAGCCTGCGCCATCTTGCTCTTCTGCTCCATCAGCCACTCCTTGCGCTTCTGCGTCATGAACTTGTACAGGGCCTGGCCGTAGCAGTGGCCGCGCTCCGTAAGGGGGGAGTCGCCGCCCAGCTTGCCCAGCTCGTTGTCGACGCTCTGGCCGTGGCGGGTGATCCAGATTTGGCGGGGTGCAAGGTTGAAGCTGGACAGGTAGGTGCTGATGCCGCCGCTGAGGAAGCCCTTGAGGCGGTGCTGCACCAGCTTCCTGCCGACGTCCACCATCTGGATGTACTGCATATCGTTGTCCTCCTCGTAGTCGCCAAGGGACTCGTACGCGCTGGCATAAGCGGCGACGCGGTTCTTGAAGTCCTCGAGCGACTTGTGAGGGTCCTTGTCCCGATAGTCCGGGCCCGACAGCTTGAGGCGCATATTGGCCTCGAGGAGGTTTTGGTCTCTGCAGATGCTCTCGATGAAGAGAATGCCGAGCTTGGGCTCGCGCTCCCGGATGCGGTCGACAATGTGCTGACGTCGCTTGATGGTGCTGTTTGTCGCATCGAGGATACCGACGGCGCCGCCCTGGTTGAGCAGGTAATCGAGCAGCTCGTCGAGCGTCTCCATGGCGACCTGCTCCCGCAGGGCAGATGCCTTTGCGTTTTTGGGGTCGAAGAACTTGGCCGACTGGTCGGCCTCGTCCTGGGCGTCTCCCGGGGCATGGTCGAGATTGAGCACGGTGGGCTCGGCGCGGTCAAGGCTGAGGGCGGCATGGGGCGCGGGGATGCCGTTGAGCAGGATGGTGGCGGCCTGGACCGGGGGGTCGAGGCAATGGGGCTCAGGGGCGAGTCGGGACTTGGCAGAAACCTTGATGCCGGCAGCGTGGCGTCGGCGGTTCCCGACGTTGAAGATGCGGGACTCGTGCTGCTGCCAAGAGAGGTAGCGCTGCAGCTTCTTGGTGATGTACGACTTGCCGCGGGCGGGTAGGCCGACCATGACAATGACGAGCTTGGCGGCCACGTCGCGCTGGGGGATCCTGCCGTCGGGAGAGACGCGGGACCTGGTCATGCCGGGGATGTTGAGCGTGGTGGCATGGGGGCGCACGCGGGGGGTCTGGCTGCCCGAGTTTTGGCGCTGGGGGGGGCTGCCGTCTGTTAGCTGTGTAGGGATGAAGGCGGTGACGGACATGACTTACATGCGCGGGGAGCTCGGGGCGGTCGAGTTGACGCTCTGCGACAGCGGCGTGTCGGTCAGATCCTTGATGGTGCGCAGGGCCTGGGCCATGGCGGCGGGCATGGAGACCGAGGAGTAGCCATGGCGGGAGTTGAGGGGCGGCAGGACGGCGAGCTGCTCGGGCTCAGAGGCCGTGGGTGAGACGGAGCGTGGCGAGGACGAGGCCAGAGTGTTGTGCATGACAAGCTTGGCCAGGGCTGATTGTTTGGCTTGTTTCCGGCCCAAGTCTAGAGAGGGAGTGTGTGTGAGCAGGAGGACGAGAGAGAAGAGGGAGTGAGTGGGTGAGCTAGGAATATAGGATGGGGACAAGGAAGTGACAGGGATGACGTAGAGGAGCGAGGGTGAGCAAAGCGAGGAGGAGGAGGAGGAGGAGGAGGAGGATGATGATGATGATGATGATGATGATTGGGGTCGGTGACTTGAAATGGAAAACGAAAGGGCGGATCATGAGTAACGCACCTTGGCGGGGTATGACGACTGCGGAGGGCATGTTATCTCGCAGCACCGAAGTCGCTGTACGGAGCAAGCAGAACCAATGGCGCGGCTGGCCAAGGCCGTGGGGGAGCGACTGGCTGCCCTGTGGCGGGTGCAGGGGCGCTAGAGGATGGCGAGTTGGGGGCCTGCCTGACTGACTCGCACGCAGCCTTGGACGAATCAGGAAAAGTCGTTTGTGCTGAGAGGGAAAAAAAAATCAATCAAACACCTATACAGGATGTACAGGATGTACAGGATGTACAAGATGTACAGTATGTACAGTATGTACAAGTGTAAGCAAACAGCCGGGACAGACACACGTAGGCGGCCGGCGGCAGAGTCGCAGTCGAGGCGTTGGGCGGGCGAGTGTTGAGGCCGGGCCCAGGTTGTGCTTTTGTAGGACCAGAGATGACCGTGAGACAAAGCTCGAAGTGAACAAGAAGTGGACAGTATTTGTACAGAAGAAGAAGAAAGAAGAGGGTGGTGGATCACTGGCTAGCCAAGGGTGGGCTGGGGCCAGAGACAGGAACCCAAGGTGGTTATATAGATGGCTATGTCTGTGAGATGATTAGAGGAAGCAGGCCTCAACGCAGCCTGGCCGTCGTCAAGCTTTCCCTTGGCGTGGCTGCTGCGAGGCGTGGAAGTTTGTCGGCCGCGGACATGCATCGAGCACAAAGTCTAAGGCAGGTGACGGGGTTGACAGCAGGCGAGGGAGGGAGGTTAAGGTGGTGAAGAGAGTAGGACGATGATGGGAAAGCAAGGCAAAATGGGAGAAAGGTAGCTGGAGAAAGGTAGCTGGAGAAAAGTAACTGGAGAAAAGTAACTGCAGAAAAGTCAATGGAGCAAAGTCAATGGTCGGAGAGGCTGCGTCGGTGTCCAGGCACCGAGAGTTGCAAGATGCCACCACCAAAGCTTGGCAGGCGCGAAACAAACAAATCTTTAAAAAGAACGCTTCCTACACGGACTGCATCTGATTGCAGCATCAGTTACTATGCGCCTTCGCAACAGGTTTCGGAGCAGCAAAGGGGGGGCCGCCGTCAGCAAGGGTCCGTCCGTCGATGGGCGACGGAGCTGCGCCGAACCATGGACGGCGACAGACCAGCGTGTGCGTGCATGGGCCTACTATTGGCTCCCATGTCGACGTGTCTGAACACAGCAGAAATGTGTGTCGCCCGCCGTGTTTCGAGAGAGTCAGTCAGTCCCTGACAGACCAGCCCTCCCTCTCCAGACCTGTTGCGGACCGAGGCGGCGACGGTGGAAGGGACTAATGCTGTAAGTTGGGTAGTAGAAAAGTCAACGACTCTTAATTACAGGGGGCCTACAGCGGCTTCGCTTCTCCACGTGACGGCTGCCTGCTGGGTTCTGGCGCACGCTCTAATAAGTTAGCTACCGAGCAGAGAGTCATCTTTGCCTTTATTTGCTTTATTTACTTTGTGCTTCAAGAAGCATCCAAGTTCCGGTCCAACGAGACGACGAGAAAGGCACGCCAAGACGAGTCTGTTCTCTCTCCTCTCTTAATCACTCCTCGCCCACCCCTTTTCCTTCTCCTTCTTTTTCTTGTTCTTCTTTTTCTTGTTCCTCTTCTTCTGCCTCCCCCCTCCCTCTCCTCCCACCCCAATCCTCGCATCCTCCGATGTCGCCCACCACATCGCATCGAGTCACATCGCATCGAGTCACATCGCGCGACTCCACGTGCCAAGGTCCCAGCCACGGCGTCGCGTCGCACTGCAGAGCCATGTCAGCAGCTGTCACGTACTGTACCTCCATGCCCTGGCCTCTAGCAGCTATCCGAGTGCCGCCGAGAGACTACTGTAGGACTGGCAAATACACTCGACCGAGGTCTACCTGAGCTGTACTACCTTGACCCCATGCAATCTGCACGCGCGGACGCGCCAGAACGGAAGCAATGGAACCCTGAAGAGATAAGGTAGCGCCTGGAACCCGGCGAGTTGGAGATGCCGGCCCTCGCAGCAGAGATGTGCCTGCGCGACTCCGCATGACACTGTCGTGCCCATCCCACTCTACCCATGCCTCGTGGGCGTGGTGAGACATTGCTACCTTGTAGTAATTGCTGTAATTAATTACATGGGTGCTTTTCTTGGCTTTGTTGAGCAGGCTGATGAGTTGTATGAGTCTTGCATTTGCAGCAGCATCGGCAGCTTTCTGTACGAATGCCGCTGCTGCTTCACAAGCATCCAGGCCGCGACGATAATTTGCTGCCTCGAGACTCCCCCGTGAGAGAGCCCATGCTTCAAATTACCACCCCCGTCTAATTAGAGATGGATCTAGAGATGGATGGTCAAAAATACCCTGCTGCAATTCTGGTCGCCAATGGGTTTCATCCCAAGTGGATGCCAAAACAGCACCTACAGTAATTACATCTGTACGGAAAGTCTACGGAGTACCGAGAAGCAAGCGAGCATGGATACCGTCATCCTTGGCAAGGCCTCAGCAGGAATGAGGCATGGCCGTCTCAGTCCAGCTTGGCAGTTTTCAACTCGTTCCCTAACCATGATCCACCCAAGCTGCAGGCATGCTTGTAACGAACGAGTAACGAACGACCCTCCCTTGCGGTGATAACGGACCGACGGTCCCGAGCACGGAAACCGATACCAAATGACAACCGGGGGCATCATGGGCAAGCGCCAAATCCTTCACAGACGCCGTTTCTGTGCACATGCGCGCGAGGCCGGCGAACCAATAGCTCTTCTGCCCATTGACGACGATACGGGACTTGATGGCTCAGAGGAAAAGGGAAAAGACCAAGACAGCACTGATACCGGGTGACGCCGCTGTTCAGGGTTCTAGAAGACGTGGCGTGTGGGCGGCGTGTGGGTGGCTGGCGTCGCCTCACTAGCCACAGTCCAACCTCGACGAGAACTAGCATTGCAGAAAAGTCGTTGCCAAACGCGTCTTTTGAGTCTTGACGATCGACGACAACCACCATTCAACTCAGCTTGAGATTGAGGTCCGAAGAAAACGCCGGGCCTCGGCTTGGAACTAATACAACTGCAGGCAGAGTCTCGGCTGCCATAGACTGGCCGTGAGCCTGACTGAACCTTGGTGCCAGCCGTTGAGTTCAATGGACCCGTGCCAGCTGTTCGCCAGGCCTGTTCGTCCTCTCGCCTCGCAGCCCTGAACATTCCCTTTGCCAGCCTTGTGCCCCTTTGCTCGCGCCTTTCCCCTCACGCAAATCCTCTCTTCGGCACCCCCGTCCGCCACAGCTGTTTCTCCCCGCCGAGCTTCACGGAGCAGCCAACCCGTGCAAAGGCTTCATTTACACTGCATTGCCCATTGCCCATTGCCCGCCCACATTGCAACACAATTCAAGCTGCTCCGTCAGTTTCAACCAACCGAGGGCATACAGCCGGGCTTGCTCCATTGCCCCCCTGCGGCGCCTGGCGGACTCGGGCGAGAAAGCAGCCCTTGCATCGCTAGCCACGAAACCATCGCCTTGACGGGGCGAAACTGCATCACTGGTTCCAGAAGCTGCCTCGAGAAGCGGCCTCTAGAGCGACACGGCCTCGCAAAACAAAGAGGCACACCCTGCGACTCCCCTTGGTGGTGATCGATTCGCCGTGGTTTTAGGGCAACACCCACTGCTGGTGCCTTCCGCTCGCAGAAAGGAGCTCTGCCCCAAGCCTCGCCCCAAGCCTCCCCCCAGCTTGCAACAGACACCTTGCTGCCACTGCCTGCGCACTGCTCGCCCTCACGCAGCCACCCAGTGCTCTCTCCCCGTCTGCCGGCCATCGCCAGGTTCCATCGCCAGGTTCCATCGCCAGGTTCCATCGCCAGGTTCCACCGCCAGGTTCCATCGCCCGACGACTCTTGGCCCCCGTGGCAGGCGACAACTCGTCGCCGCGCTGCTGTGCCCCTACTGATTTTTGGAGCCTTGCCAGCCTTGTCGTCGGCCGAGTCTTTTACCCCGATAACCTTGTGGATGTCACTGGGCCAAAATGGTGCGCGTTGCCACGCGAGCGGATCCCGAGCCGCCCAGCACCCTCACGGCCTCGAGCCACACGACGGGCTGCAGCAGCATGGGAGACTGCGCCCTTGTCGAGACCCGCAAGCCGGCTGCCGAGGCGGCCCCCGAAGAGCAGCTCCGTCACCCAGGAGGAGTCTTGCCCAACCCCTTGGTGGATGACTTGAAGGAGACCCATGCCCGGCGAGGCGTCTTGATCCCCCTCAAGACGACACAAGAGGTGCGCCAGGACCATGTCATTGTCCAGGCCTACATCACGAGAGCGCCCACCAAGTCGGCCAACGAGGTCATCATGTGCGTGTCTCGGCCGACGATTCCTACCGTGGACTTGCACCGCTGACTGTGGCTCTGCAGGGCTTTGCGATCGCTGCGACCTGAAGGTAGTGCTAACCCCCTGCCTCATCTTCGCACGTGCGCCAAGCCGACGGACCTTCCCGCACACATCAAGACGCAATTCATGAACGACACGCCGGCTGGCCGCCAGATCCACACGACAAAGTCCAACTGGATCTACATCATCGTTGGCGAGGTCAAGGAGATGGACAGGGAGGAGGTGGTGCTGACGCTGCTGAAAATCGAGGGGCTCGAGCAGGACGTCTTCATGGCCGTCATCCCCATCCCGCTCTTGGCGCCCACGTCGCAGGTCCAGGCGGCCATGTGGTCGTCGCAGTTTTGGCCGACCGTGTACCGCAAGAACAACCCGCTCGGCCCTCACCCTGGCATGGTGGGACGCGGCACCGAGGACATCAAGGACGACGCCTCGGTCTGGATGGCCCTGGCCCATCGGGTGGCTCGCGAGGCCAAGAAGGCCGGCATCGGCGAGCCCATGGGCGCCGTCATTGTGCAGCGGAGCGAACGGGGCGCCGAGCTCGTTGGGCTGGCCGGAGACGCGCGCCGGCACCAAAAGTCGGGATCGGGAATACCCAACAACACCATGACGCACTGCGTGATGCGCGCCATCAGCATGGTGGCGCAGAAGCTGGTCCGGCACGAGTGGCGGGCGGGCGGGCTGCCCGCCGGCGGCCCTAACCTGGCGTTTGACGCGTTCCAGGACCAGCCGCTGCTGGGCATGGAGCGCGCCTGCTTTGCGCAGGAACACCCCAACAAGGAGGGCTACCTCTGCCACGGGCTGGAGCTGTACGTGACGCACGAGCCGTGCGTGGCGTGCTCGATGGGGATCCTGCACTCCCGGATGGGCAAGGTGGTCTTTTCCAGGCACATGCCTCGCACCGGGGGGTTGAGCTCGGATGATCGCCCTGACGGAGGTGGACGAGGGTTGGGCCTCTTTTGGAGGCGGGAGCTCAACTGGAGCTTGCTGGCGTGGGAGTGGGAGCGCGAGGGCGTGCCCGAGCTGCCGCTCGTCGACCCGACCACTCATGTTTAGGATTACCACCTCCCAGGTCGTTGCGAGACTCGGCCACTGCACGCCGTCTGCTGGGACGGATATGTGAGTGGCACGCTGCAGCGAAGCGATGGGGTGCTGATTTGGGCCAGAACAGTTGCATCGCTCCGCAAGAAGCAGAGGGGAGACGAAGGGTGTGTATGGCTTATTGCGTCTGCTGATAGTCGACCGTTGGTTGGAGGACGAGCAGAGGGTTTAGATAGTCCTCTATGCTCGGATGGAAGCAGGGATTGCAGTCGGTTACTGTGTGTCTGGCAAGCGGGCAAGGCGCAGGGATAGGGTTGGCATCTGGTACAAAGTGTGATTCTTGCATCACCAAGGCAGTTGAATTCTCATGTGCACCGCTTACACATGCAGTGACGAGGGACAAAGTAGGGGATGAGGCGAGGTGTGGGGGGCCTCGGTGCATGTTGGTGGATGCCAGTTTGCATTGAGCACTCGGCTTGATGCGAGTGCTTTACGCGTCGCGCACTTACGAGAGAGCCTCCATTGCCAGCGAGGATTGACACGGTGCATGTATTCGTACATATCATTGTAATGCTGTAGCTGTAGACGAGGAGAGAGAAGAGAGTGGGGTGGATATTATTCGATACAAGCGGTTAGGATGGGGGAGCAAGAGAGCAGCAGAGACCCCTGGAGCTCCCGCGCCACAGAAGGGGGGGGGGTGGTGGTGTGGTGGCCCCTCCCGATTTTTTTTTGTTTGCATCACGAGGGCGCCGTGGCGGCCAGCTTAACAACTGGGATCCATTTGCCTGCCCCCTCTCTTCGCTTCTCTGCTCCTCTCTCCTCACCTTGCCTTGCCCCCTCTTCTCTCTCTCCCCTCTCCCCTCTCCTCTCATCCTCGCTCGCACCCCTTTGCCGTGCATCAACCTAGATTACCAGACTTTGTCGCTGTTTTTCTCTCTCGCGCACTTTCACAAGCCGCCTTTTGCACTGCATCTCGGCCGCGCCCCAGAAACCTTACGGCAGTGCCTCGAGGCAACATCATGTGGCCGTCTCTCTGACTGTGCAACCTCAGCCGCCGCCGATAAATTGAAAAGCAACTTCAACCTCGGCCGCCGCGTTGGTAGGGTCTCTGTCGCAGTAGCATCGTGTGCAGGCGCCGCGCCGACATTATTGGCGCGAGAATATGCGCCGCGGGTTGCGTCCGACCTATCGATATTCCGCCTCACTTGCATCATGAACAAGAAACGCCCTGCCCCGGCGGGCACCGTGTCCCTGCCGGCCCTCAACAAGAAGAGGAAGACGGACAACATGCAGAAGTTTTACGCCGTCAAGGCCGGCTTCAAGCCGGGCGTCTACCTGTCGTATGCAGACTGCCAAAAGCAGACGGCCGGCTTCAAGGGTGCTGTTTGTAAGTCCAGCAACCCAAGCTGCGCCCTGGCTGACAAGACTAACCCGCCGCAGTCAAGTCGTTCACGTCGCATGAGGATGCCGAGGCCTTTGTCGCCGGCAAGAAGGTCACGGGCGACTCGAGCGAGCCCGAAAAGTTCTACGCCGTCGCCGTCGGCAGCCCCACGGGCATCTACACCGACTGGAACGACGCCGCCGCCGCCATCAAGGGCGTCAAGGGTCCCAAGTACCGGCGCTTCGCCAAGCGGTCCGAGGCCGTTGAATACATCAAGCAGCTCGGCAGCCGCGAAGCCATTGAGGCGCTCGGGGAGACAGCCAAGGACCGGCCCGACCCCCCGCCGGCGGACAAGGCCAAGAAAAAGGACGTGGAGATAGCGCTGCCTTCCGAGGACATGCTCAAGATATACACCGACGGCAGCAGCCTGGCAAACGGCAAGGTCGGGTCGCGGGCCGGCGTCGGCGTCTTCTTTGGCGACGGCGACCCGCGCAACGTGTCGGAGCGCCTCGTGGGGGACCCGCAGACCAACCAGCGGGCCGAGCTTATGGCGATGCTGCGGGCGCTCGAGATTGCCCCGGAGGGGCAGACGGTGCAAATCATCAGCGACAGCCAGTACTCGATCAACTGCGTAACGCAGTGGGCCATTGGCTGGAAGATGAAGGGCTGGGTGACGGCGACGGGCGAAAAGGTCAAGAACCAGGACATTATCCGCGCCGTGCTGGACAGGATGGAGGAGCGGACGCGGGCGGGGGCCAACACCTATTTTCACTGGGTCAAGGGCCACAGCTCCGATAGGGGCAACGTGGCCGCCGACCGGCTGGCCGTCCGAGGCGCCAAGATTGGCTTTGGGTGACGGGGCCGAGAGTCAGACGGCGAGGCCGCTCGGAGCTCGGAGGACAGAGGGAGGGGCTGCTACCCTGTGATGCAACCCCAGGGCAGCCAGCGGCGGCGGCGGCAGCGGCAAAGAGGGCAGGGGACGGGAGTCGTCGATTTCCATGGAAACAAAGACCAATAACCCTGTGGGGTAGGTAGGGGACTGTGAACGGGAACATGGAGCGCGACATAGATGTCCCGCTCGCTGGGCTGGCAAGAGCCGAAGACGCGGCGTTCCGATGCGAGCTGAGGTTTGTCCTGATTCTGACGATACCAATTTTGCTGATTCTTGTCACTTCTCTGTTCTTACCTGTGTCTCCTCCACTTCGTTTCATGCCCTGCCTGCGCCCGCAAATCAGACGTGCGTTCCTTGGGGAGAAGAGAGAGCAGGGTGGTTTGCAGACAGACACACGTCTTCCAATACAATGCGACGGCGCCCGGCTGCACGTGAGGCGGGAGCGCGGGATGCGACTCGTTGCAAGCCGCAAGGCCGTCCACCCTTTTTCCCTCTCTGTGGTGGGACGACAGAAGAAGCATGCAGCAGCAGCAGCAGCAGCAGCAGAAGCAGCAGGGACAATACTGCCTGCGCTGCCGCCGGCGCCGCTTTCGGCTTACACTTGCACGACATGCGGAGATGCAGTGATGCAGAGACAAGGCGATTAGGAGACGTGCGGTGCGTGTGGGCAGAGGCGTCTCGGCAGCGGCAAAGGTCGTCGTCGCCCACCTGTCCTGTGTTGGCCCCCCCACGCCCCCTCGGACGCCAGCGCCGCGGAGAAGTGTCATTGATTACATTTCCTGCCTGCGCTGTGGGAAGAGATATAAAAAGGAGTACGAGCCACCCCCCCCCTTTGGCGTTGAATGGAGAGTTTGAACCATCATCAGCGATCGAGGCCCTCCTGCCCCCGCCCCCTCTTCGCTCTTCGTCATCATCTCTCTTTTACAGTTTCCCTATCCGTACTTGCGCCAAGGAAGGAAGGAGGAAAGCCCTGGCCGGGAGGAGAGACAAAAGGGCGTGTCTCACCGGGCGGCGCACGTGAGAACCCTGGCCGGTGCACGTGAGGACCCCGGCCTGCGGCTCATCGCCCGTGGCCTGCTTTCGGCGGCGGCGGCACCGGCGCCACGCGGGGCCGGTTTTGGTGGAGGGGCGGCCGTCAATAGGCCAGCGAGCCAGCGTGTGCGTGTGTGTGCGTGTGTGCGCGTGTGTATTACTGGGGCGTTGTACTCCCGTGACCCATGGCCTGTGACCGTCAGCCGTGCCGGACCCCGGGCAGCCCGGGAGGAAGCCACCGTCCGTGCCCACAAACGCTCGGTTTGATTCATCCCGTTCCCCGCCTGTTCTCAAACACTCGCCGACAGCTGCTTCTTGCCCCTCTTCAACTATACATCATTTAAGAGAGCGCGATTGCCGTCCGCTGGTCTCGCGGCTTCGTCCTCCCTGATCCCGCCGCAACCACGAGCCGCTCTTCGACTCGACCCGCCGTCCGCTCGCCCCGACCGGCCGAGTAACAGCGGCCCCGCACACGCATCCAAGCCACGGGGGACAGCCATGACGTCTGTCCCGGCCCGGCCCCGACTCACCGTCTCCGCCCGCCACCCCGACCCCTGCTAACGTCTCGAGTCCCGCCGACATGGCGCCCAACATCTGGGCGATCCCGCTCCAGCTGTCCAACTTCAACGTCACCGTGGCCCTTCTCGGTGGCTTCATCTCGCTCTTCGGCCTCGTGTCGTTTCTGCTTAAGGAGAACTATTATCTCTCCGAGGCTCGTAAGGCGCCCGCCCCCCCTTTTTCTAGAAAATATCCAGCGGTCTCGTGTGACTCCTCTTCGCTGACTGCTGGGACAGTCATATCGCTGCTCGTGGGCGTGGCCTTTGGACCGCAGGGAGCAAATTTCATCCGGCCCAAGGACTATGCCGAGTGCCGCTGGGACGGCGTCTCCGAGGCCGAGTGCGCCGACAACCTCAACGCAGTCACCCTTAACTTTTCCCGTCTCGTCCTTGGCGTCCAGCTCGTCCTCGCCGGCGTCCAGCTACCCAGCCGGTATCTCGTCACCGAGTGCAAGTCTCTCCTGCTGCTGGTCGGGCCCGGCATGACGTGCATGTGGCTGGCCACGAGCCTCCTTGTCTGGGTCGTCGTCGGCACGCCCAGCTTCCTCCACGCCCTCGCCGTGGGAGCGTGCGTCACGCCCACCGACCCCGTGCTCTCCGCCGTCATCGTCAAGGGTAAGTTTGCCGATCAAAACATTCCCCCAGGCCTGCAGGACCTCATTGTCGCCGAGTCGGGCACCAACGATGGGCTTGGCTACCCCTTTCTCTTCCTCGCTCTCTACCTCATCAAGTACGTGGGGGCGGGCTCCACCGCCGGGGGCGTAGGCGATGCGCTGGGCCTCTGGTTCGCCTTGACTTGGGCATACATCATCATCCTTAGCGTACTGTACGGCGCCGCGGTCGGGCTGCTGGGCCGAGAGCTGCTCCACTGGGCTGAGAGGCGCAACTACATCGACCGCGAGAGCTTCCTCGTATTTTCCGTGGCCCTGGCCCTTTTCGTCCTCGGCACTTGCGGCCTGATTGGCACCGACGACGTCCTGGCCTGCTTCATCGCCGGCAATACATTCACCTGGGACGACTGGTTCCGGATGCAGACAAAAGACGACTCGCTGCAGCCGACCATAGACATGCTCCTCAACGTCACCATCTTCCTGTGGTACGGCGCCTCTCTGCCATGGAGCGGCTTTGTCCACAACTCGGTCCCTTTGCTCTCCATTGGGCGCCTCGTTGTCCTCGGGGTGCTTGTGCTCCTCCTGAGACGGCTGCCCTGGGTGTTTGGCATGCATAGATGGATCCACCAGATCCGACAGGCTCGACAGGCCATTTTCGTCGGCTTCTTCGGGCCCATTGGCGTCTCGGCAGTCTTTTACCTCTTCATCAGTCTCGAGTTCATCCAAGAGCACCTCAGCAACGCGGATGGCGTGCCCAGAAGCGATGTTGAACACCTGGGCGAGACGATACGAGTGGTGGTCTGGTTTCTTGTTGTATGCAGCATTGTAAGCCTCGACCGTCCATTGATCGAGTCATGACTTGCGCACATCTAACGCACACAGATTGTCCATGGACTCAGCATACCTCTGGGGAAATTGGGATGCCTTGCTCCGAGGACATTGAGTCGCGTGCTGAGCGAGCGCATGTATGAAGAGCCATTCACGTCGGTGGCTCGGAGAAGGATCCCCGTCTTTGGCAAATGGCTTGGCCGCAAGAAAGGTGGCGTCATGTATACCGCAGTGGCCGACGCTCATCCCGACTCCGCACCTCGCGGCGCCTGGGAGACTGACACGGACGCAGGAAACAGTTTCCCAGAAGCTCCGCCAGTCAGATAGGGTAGAGTCTAGGCTAGGCTCTACATGCGCCAACAGAATACGGGTTCCTGAAGGGGGTTATTTGCCGATGGTGGCGGAACAAACACTGGAGGGGGTGGCCTTGGAGGAAGACGGTAGCCGCTGCCTGCAGACTAGTCGTGTCCTAGTCATGCGGCTAGCTAGGTCTATGCAGCCAGTCGCCGTGATGATTGGCGACCATGGTGTTAATAGTGCTGTTGGACCGAGGTGCCTGCAGGAACTGTGCCCGATTGCGCGTAGGTGCTGAATCACCGATGATAACGACGACTTTGCTGCCATGTGTTGTGACCAGCAACGGCCATCTTTGCAGGCGAGAGTCTATTTCAATATTGGGTTCGTTTCAAGAACCGGGGGCCGTTGGCTGGTCCTGCGAGGCGAATGTGTGTGCCATGGTCATGACGAGGAGACATCTGGCCGACGAGGGCATTACGGGACCGGCGACGGCGGGCCAGCGTCATGGGCTTGATGTCGCCATCCGGGCTGCTTTATCCAAAAAGTGAGGCTTTATTTAGTGCCGTGATGATGATGATGGAGGGGCGTCTCGTATCCGAGGCTGTCGACCGATTAGCTCAGTTTAGGGGCATATCGCACGGAATTTGGAGCCGAGCGGACGGCCTTTAACCCGGAGGTTAGCTTTGGCCTGCACGAGGATGGAGATGGAGATGGAGACGGATGGAGGTGGATGGAGGTGGACGGAGATGGATGGATGGATGGAGGCTGGCTGACGAGGCCTTGGCTGTGATTGGCTGCACGAGAGGGCCTCGAGAACCTGGAGGTACCTTTGAAATGCGGGCCAAAGTCGGCATTCGAGAAGCGACCAAAGTGAAACGTGGACCTGGCTAACGAACGGATCAAGATGTACGGATATAATAGCGCATACCTTATTATTGCCCAAACCCAAAGATGGCGTGCACTCGATGCAAAATGCAGCATGAGGCGCTCTCGTGGCATAATGTGCGTCGGCGGAGAGCGGGAAGAGACGGACATTTGCGCATGGGACGCAGCAAGCACCCAGGTACCGAAGTACCTGAAAGTACTCACGCCAGAGGCCAGCTTGCGTTATCCAAAGTCATCGATGCTGCGAGTTGGCTGCTGTTTGGGGCTCACGGGAGCCTCTCGGGTTGGATGGAGGCCAAAAAGAGCTTGGACCTGCGCTCTGAGATAACGTTGACAGCATCAGAGTAGCAGTGGATGGGACGCTGCCTCTGCACTAGAGACCGATCCTTTGTGATTGGCCGGCAAAGACGCCATCTCCCCAAACACACAGGCAGGGTCAGGCAGGGTCAGGCAGGGTCAGGAAGGGTCAGGAACAGGCAGTGCACCGCCCGGAGCGGACTGAAGGAGCGATCAAGGTCCGACCGATACCGCGCCATGTCCACCGTACTTTGGAGTCTTAGAGTCCGCGCGAAGACGCTGCCCCGTCCCCTAGCAAGCCCCAAGTGCCGAGTACTGGGGGCCCTGACCCCACCTCTCTGAGGTGCCTGGCCGTTCCAAGCCCGCTTCAGCGCAAGGCCTCGTGGCATGTACTTTGTACCGCACAGTCACTCCTTGCCTTGGCGGTACCTCTTGGCACCAAACCTCTTCGGTTGGAGGCTACCTTCAGTACAGTACGGGGTTGCTAGTGATTGTCGCTGTTTCGTCAATCTCAGTCCTTCCATCCCACTCCCGCTCAATCGTCAGCGACGACGACGACGACGACAACGACAACGACGACGACGGTTCGCGACCCCGACGCCCGCCACCGACGTCTTAGCCACCGAGAGTTTCCCGGCGGCGTTACGTCCATCGGTCTCGCCCCGAGTCGATTTGCGGACGCCTCCGCTGCGCCTGCGTCAACCTTAATCTTGCTTTTCCTCGACTCCCTGCACCGTCGTTGACAGCCATCGCGCCCGCCTACAAAGGGTATGAATACCTGACGCTGCCCTCGAGCCCTTGTTTTGCTGCCAGCATTCTTTTCCCCCACAGTCGAGCCAGAAGCCGCACCCTTGTCCGCCTCCCGCCAATCCACCACCACCCACCCCCCTTTCCTAGTCTTCTCCAGCGCCGACATCCAAACCTGACCGAGTCCGACGTCCACCGGTAACATAGTCTTCCCTTCGACCGACAAACAGGCTATTGCTTCGAGCTCATCACCACATCCCTTGCTTCTGGACATGACAAAGGCGAGGGCTTCCGGCGCCGCCAGCCCTCTTATCGCGGGGGCGGCAACGAGAACGGCAACGTCGAGCGGTGAATTTGGCGACTTTGACGATGACTTCGGGGCACCCAACCTCTTCGACTTCTCCACCAGTCCCGATACCCTGCAGAGACTAGAAACGATTGGCACCAGCGATCCAAAGACTTTCTTGAGCCCCCAAGACCTCACCCTCCCCGACTCGCCAACATCCTACCAAGACTCGTCGTCCGACTCGGCCTCGTCCTCCAAGAGGACCGAGAGCTCTGCTTCGGCCATCCCCTCGGCTACCCCCGCCGACATCGCCATGGAGCAAGCCGATGATGTCAAGATGGAATGGGGCCATTCCGAGTACACCTCCTTCGACGACGACGACCATGCCTTTACCTTTGCCCGTGACGCCGACCCCTCGGCCGCCATGGGTGGCATCTACGGCTTCGGCGAAAACGAAGACACCTTCATGGACCGCTCCTTTGACTTTAGCGGGGCCTCGAACAGTCCCGACGGCCCCTCGCACCGCCCTTTGGCCAGCGGCCCCATCGACATGCCCTCCCCCGGGATGCCTACCATCAAGACTAACAGCCCACGGAAACCAAACCAGGCCCAGAGGTCCCAGGCCACCGGCCACCGGAAACAAATTTCGGTGAGTGCTTCCCACTGTCGTGCCGCCTAGCCCAGCTCTAATGCCTTGTCCCAGCAATATTCCATGGCCTTCTCCGCCCACGGGGTTCATTCGGCTGGCTCGAGGGAAGTGTCACCAATGTCTGCCATGGTGACCAGCCACGACTCGTCCCCCGCGGCCACCTTCTTCAACTCTCCCTCGCCAGCCACAGGACATGATTTCTCCAATGGTTTGAACAGGAATGCCATGTGGACAAGTAGGATGGACGTGCCGCCCCGACCAGACGCCATACCCGCGTCGGCCCAGCTAGCGGCGCCGCCAATGGCTCAGCCGGCGCCCGCTCCCCAATTCCCCCTGAGCCCGCCACCCCTTCCCGTTACCGGCGGGTATGAGCTGACGATCATGCCGACGCCCCTCAAATCGCGCGTTGAGACGCAAATCCCCATCAAGATGACCCTGTCACCTCTGCCGCCGGGTGTGACCAAACTGCACCTCCCGGCCCACACAATATCCAAGCCCAAGCTGCTGGCCAAGCCCCCTCCGGAACGATCTCCGGACATGCTCGAGCTGTTTGTCACGCTCGTCTGCACCAGCGCCATGGAGCAGCCCGAGCTCAAACAGCAGGCGTTGGAGAGGGCCACCAGCTTACCCCAGCGATATCTCCCGGAACGTGACGACGAGGAATCCTCACCTCAGAATGGGGGCGATGTCCGCATCTGCCCAGGCTGCGTCACCAGGGAGCGAAAGAGGGCGGCTCGGAAGAAGATCAAGAAGCCCGATGAAGAAAAGCTGTGGGCCTTGGACGAGGATTATCGGGTCATCGTCTTCAACACGACAGAGGTCAAGGAATGGCAGCAGGTCTTGGACTCGAGCGGGCGGCCGGAGAAGGCCGCGTCCGGTCACATTATGCAGATTGATGCACCGATGCGCATAGCGTGCTACTGCCGGCACCACAACGAGAAGATGGGCTTCAACGTCATTTTCACCATCAAGGACTTTCGGGGTCAAGTCATTGCGCAGGCCATGTCCAACCCCGTTATGATCACCGATGATCACAAAACCCATCCCGTGGCGCAGTCTTCGTCGCAGGCGGCAATGTCTGAGTCCGTCACTTCATCGACGGTGCCTGCAAGCACAGGGCCCTCGCCGCCTGCCGCCGCCGAAACGAACGGCCTCATGCATACGGCGCAGAATGGCGCCTTTCGCATGTCCAACGGTGACCCTGCTTCCTCCCATGGCAGCGGGCGACAAGCCTCGCACCCGTCGTCGGCCTCGGGCAAGACGACGCCGACCATGGGCACGGTCACGGTGCCGACCAGGGCCATGTCCCGCCCAGCGTCTCCCATCCAAGGAGGACCCATGGCCAAGAAGAGAAAGTCGAGCGGGAGCACATCGTCGCGGGTCCCCAACGGGCTGACCATGACGAGGCTAGAGACGTCGCCCTCTCCGAATGCCCATAACGGCACGCAACTGTCGACGGCCACGTCTCCATTTTCGCCCAACTCGGCCCACTTTTCCCAACTCGAGCCCATGTTCGGACAGCACGGCGGCCAACACCCGTTTGCCAATGGACCCCCGACTCCGGGTGGCAATGAACAGGCACCTTTCTACGCGGGCAACAGGTCTGCGAGCATGGACAACCTGGCCGTAGCTCACCTGTATTCCGCGCCCACCTCGAGCCATCCTAGTCGCGCACCAAGTCCCAGCGGCCTGAGGAATGGCATCGGCGCAACGCAGGGCCAGTTCGCCCCGTCGCTCGTCGGCAACCTGTTCTCGATGCCAATGGGAGTGAACCAGGCCTGTGCCCCACCCACGATCCACAAGGTCATCCCCAACGAGGGCTCCAAAATGGGAGGCGCCGAGGTCACAGTCCTCGGCCAGGCTTTCTTCCAAGGGCTGGAGGTTTACTTTGGCGACCAAAAGGCCACAACGACAACGTTCTGGGGTGAATCCTCGCTGGTTTGCCTTTTGCCCCCGTCCCCCGTCGCCGGCGCAGTTGCCGTGACGTTCAAGCAGCAGGGCGTCGCCGGTGCTCAAGGCTTTTCCATGGCCAAGGAACCGCCCATCTTCAAGTACATTGAAGACAACGAGAACAGCATCATCCGCACAGCGTTGTCTGTGCTGGGTCAGAAAATGTCGGGCCAGATCATGGACGTTAGTGACCTGGCCAGGAGGATCCTCAACGACGGGAACCCGTCTTGGTCCGGCGGATCGTCGGTGGCCCCGGGTGCTGGCGGCGCCGGCTTCAACCAGGCGTCCCACGGGCAGCACCTCGAGTCCCAGCTGCTCAAGTGCCTGGACCTGATTGATCTCGGCGACAGCACTCACAGGACGCGGCTGGACTGGAGGAGGCCCACGGGCCATACCATGCTCCATCTGGCTTGCTCTCTCGGATATCACCGCTTCGTCGCGGCCCTGCTTGCTAGGGGGGCAAACTACGATGCTCGCGACCGGGGTGGCTTCACGCCGTTGCACATGGCTGCGATGCACGGCCATGCCGAGATTGTAAGGAGGCTGATGCTGCACGGAGCTGATCCTACCATTCGGAGTCTATCCGGACTCGTTATCGCCGACATGACCAACTCGAGATCAGTGCTGCGGGCCATGTGCCAGCCTCAGCGCCATGCACGCTCTTTCAGCGGCTCCTCGTCGCTGCACAGCCGAGCCAGTAGCTCCGCCTCGTTGCGATCGCTGTGGGAGCCATTGACCAGGGCTCACACGTACGATGAGCCGATACCGGCCGACCCGGGCGATGAGAGCCCCGAGTACACGTCGGGCGACCTTGAGGACGAGGACCCGGACGAGGACCGTAATCTTCACATGAGGCGGCACAGCCGGGTGCACAGCCGGGTGCACAGCCGGGCGAGACAAGACATTGGCATCGACAGTCTTGGAGATGGCCCCGACGCCTCAGCCGGGGCCTTGGCATCGCCGACGACCCAGTTTGCGGCGATCAAAGACCAGCTCCAACAGCAGTTGCATCAATTCCAGCAGTCGATGGCTTTGCATTTGCAGAGCCTCCCTCAGATGCCTCAAATGCCCACTCTCCCGGGCATGCCTATGCTGCCGGACTATCAGGCCTACCTGCCGCAGTCACCTTTTATGCGTCGCATGCAGCAGCTCATGCCGGGATCTGGGCCACGTCCCGACTCTCGAGACGGAGAGGGGGACACTTCTAAGCTGGACGCTCGCTGGTGGGATATTACCTCTTACATGCAGAACAGCGCGGCGCCTCCCTCGTACGAAGATATCTTTGGACGGCAGGACACGACTGACCCGAAGCAGGAGTCCGCGATTCGGGCCGCGACCGAGGCCGAGGCGGACATGAAATGCGCTGCTCTCTACGATCAGCCGTCGCCGCCCTCAGGGAGCGGATCCAGAACACAGGCCCAAGGCTCGTCGCCCGGCGTGCTCAAGATTGGTCGGAAGAATGCCATCACCAAGGAGCAGCAGGAGCAGTTCCTACTGGCACACGAAAGAAGACTCAAGAAGCTCAGCAGCGATCGAAACTTGTTCTTTATTTGGGTACGTTCTCCCCACGCCGTGAGCCCCTTGCAAACCGTCACGGCTAACACTAAGCCCAGATTCCACTTCTCGTCGTCATGGTCTGCGCCATGCTATGCAGCTACTTCCCATCGCTGTTCCCTTTTCTTTGGACGTCGGTGCGTGCGCTGGTGCAAGCCGGGCAGACTCGAGCATCACGTGCGGCGCAAGACGCCCCACGTGTTGTGGAGGCATAGCTCATGACGATGGCCTTGGCCTGTTTCCTTGTCTTCGCCTTAGAGTTGGTGCGTTGGTACTTCAATGCATGGCCTTGTTGATATCATAGCATTGGAGCCCTTTTTTCTCGCAGATGTCTCGCAAGCGGTTGGAACTTTTCTGGCGTGTTTGGCTTCTCCCACGCAAGGAAGCTGGTGCGGGAACGCAAGGCTTCTTTGCAAGCAAGATTTGGGGGCATCCTGAGACGAACAGCATGCGTAACAATGGACGGGAGCGTGGCTTGTTTGCTGGATGGTCTGGGCTGTTGGTATGATGCGGATTTGTACAATGGACCGCGCCATGGCAGTGCGTGAGCTGTGATGGACAAATGCGGAGGAAGGGCATGGCGCCGTCTGTCAAGGAAGGCCTCGGTAGATAGGACACGTTCCATAGATGCAAGTAATATTAGTCTACGAGTCAACCAGTACAGATCCAAGGTCAAGTAACGATGGCGGCGGCGCGGACTGTGCGGCGCTGCTTTTGTTGTGCATTGTGAGGGCGGAGAGCTGGATAGCTTCTGTTTGCCAGCGGGGGTATATCCATGCCCATCCATGTACATACACACGTGCGCCGTTCTGCCTCGTCATGGTGTCTGGTCCTGTCCATCATCCCGTGCGCGCTGTACTCGGCTTGTCGACGCCTGAAACAAGGTTTCCCTGTCTGCCTCCCCAGAGGAAAAGAGGGGGGGAGGGTGAAAAAAATAAAGAGGAGAATAAAACAATAATAAAAGGGGGAGCCCAGAATACTGGACGAGAAGACGGAAGATGAAGGTAGAGTTGCACAAGGATCCTTGCCTCCTCCAAGGCAGAGGAGGCTTTGGCGATCACGGGCGCAGCTCGGGCGGGGCGCAGTCGTCGTCGTTCTCCTGGTTCTCCGCAAACTTGGCCGGGATGGCGGGGACGCGGGGGATGCCGCGGTTGGCGTCGGGCACGACGCTGAGGGGCCCGCCGACGATGCGTGGGCGGAGATTGCGCGGGCCGGACGGGCGTCTCGGGACGGCGGCTGGGGCGAGCGAAGCCCTTGTGCCGGCGGCGCTGCCGGGCGCGTTGACGGGCAGGGCGAGCCTGGCGAGCCGCTTTGGCGGGTTGCGGGAGGTGGCGCCGGTGGTGGCGGCGGCGGAGGTGCTTCGGCGCGGGGCGCGGACCCTGGGGAGGGAGATGTCGCGGCTGGTGGAGCGGCGCAGGCGCTTGGGCAGAAAGCGGTGGGCCAGCGTGGAGGCGTCTTCGTCGCCTTCGCCCTGCTGGGCCGGGGGCGAGCGGGCGGCGCCTTCGTCGTCGTCGTCGTCGTCGTCGTCGTCGTCGTCGGCGGCGGGGCGCTTGGTCCCGCGCGAGGAGGCGAGGCTGGCGGGCGAGCAGACGGGCGAGGCGGGGGTTGCCCGGGGAGCTTTGCGGGCGAGGGGCCACTGCGGAGGGAGGGGGGCTTCGCGACCGGGACAAGGAGGAGGCTGCTGCTGCTCCTGCTGCTGTCGCTGCTGATTCGGGCTGCGAGGCCGCGACTCGTGCGCCGTGGCGGGACGGGCGGGAGTGCCGGGAGGTGGCCGACGAGTCGAGTAGACGGCGTGGTTCGCAAAGAAGCCCGCCGAGACGAGCTGGTGGTAGCTGGCGAGCACCTCTTCCCTCGACGGCCGGTCCGCGCCGCCGTCACACGGCTTCCTCTCCTCTGCGCCCTGCGGATGACCACCTGACGACGACGACGATGACGACGACGACTTTTTCCTCCCGCCGGCACCGTCCTCACCCCCCGCCGCCTCCCGCCGCCGCCTCAGCCTCCCACGCACACCCTCCCACACCAGCCCCAAGCGCATCTTCCCCGCCGCGCGACGCCCCTGCTGCTGCTGTTGACGCTGCTGTTGACGCTGCTGCCGCGCCGCATCCTCACCACCACCGCCCGCGCCATCAGCAGCCGCCGACAGCACGGGCCGCTCGAGGGCCGCGCGCTCCGCAGGGCCGAGAAAGGCCACGGGCGGCACGGCCGAGGCGCGGTCGTTCATGGAGCCCTCGAGGAAGCGGCTGCGCGACTGGGCCGCCGCTGCGGCGGCGGCGGCGGCGGCGGCGAGGTTTTGCGCCCGCGTGCGAGGCGGCCCCATGGTTGTCTGGCTGGTGCTTTTCTTGCTGTTGCTCCCTTGCTTAACGTGTCCTTTTTCTCTTGTCGGGTTTGTTGCCTCTGCCCCTGTGGTCTATGGATGGCTATGTCGTCGTGTCGTTATCTCTGCGTGCCTGGCTGCTCTCGTCCAAGCAAGTACGCACCCCCCAATCTCGACAGGTGCAGAGTCGCTCCGATAGACGAGATGTTCAAGGCAGACAGCAGAGACAGAGTAATGGGCTGCATGGGAGAACAAGGGAGCGTGGCCAGAGAGCTCATTCTCGGTGTTTGTTGATGTAGCTCGCCTTCGTTCCTCGCCAGGTGGGGCCACACGTGACCTCACCACGGCAACGGCGCTGTGCCAAGACAACTCTGACCCCTGGCATGTCCGACGGCCCGTCCGCCCCCGCCTGTTGCATTGCATGTGCCCCTTACAGCCCCGCCCGCCCAAACGGCTGCTTCCGTGACATGACAAACGACAGGCTTAAATCACTTCCAACTGACAGCCATGAGAACCCCTAGCAACACGTCACGACGCCATCATCTACCCGGCACACTCTGCTTCGAGCGGGCCCAATCGGCACCCATCGTCTCCTTCAGAAAACGCACGCCCCTCCAAAATAGCCATACATACACATCCTCCTCTACAGTACCACCTGGATATCTCCCTAGCAGAAGCCTTTCCCGTAAACGTATTTTCCGTGCCGTCGTAACATAGAAAACGCTGCTCAACTTGCTTCCCAATGGTATCCTTCTCCAAACATGGCAGCCCGCACAACGACGATTCAACAACCAAAGCACTTGCGCCGTCGAAAAAAATGGTCAAAAAGAAATCCCAGTCGAAAGCCCCTCGAAAGCAGGGCATGGCGCAGAGCAACAAAGCAAACGGACAAGGTAAGAGGGGAGCTCGGTCATCCTCCGCTTGCCGCCCTCGTCATCCGTGGGAGAGGAGCCCGTGATGGATGGCGGTTGTAAAAGCACACTGATCAGCGAGCCGAACGCTCGCCATACCTGTATATCATCTTTGCCCAGCATATGAAGCTCCAAGTTAAAGCAGTTGCGCCTCAAGCCCCCGTAAATGTCAAAACCAAGGAAAAATTACTTCGTGCTTGCGACATGGCGGTGATGATCCTCTCTCGCCGGGGCGGGGACAAGTCGCACAAGTCGCATGCAAATCTCGCAGCGCCGGCATCATTGCCACTGGCTAAACGTGACAACCCCGACCTTGCCGTCGGCCCGCGAGTACATGCCTTGGCCGGGATCCGATGTCGCACCCGTGCGGCCGCCAAAGTGAGGATCCAGCTGTCGCCGGCCGTTGTGGAGCGGTTGCGCGTTCTGGTGAAAGACAATCTCATGCTTTCGCTTGCCGCCGGTGAACACGACCGGAGGCGCAGGCAGTGGCTCGGCTTGCGCCTCGATGGGAGGCAGCGGCGACACCAGAGAGGCAATCTTGAGGGGTGCCAGAGATGCGTGTGGCTTGATCGGTTTAGTCCTCTGCGCTGGCGGGGGCAGCGAGGGAGTCGAGTTGAACGACGTGTGCGAGTCCCGCCGTGAATGGCCGTCTGTCGACGAGTACGACGACGGCGAGGGAGTCACGTAGCTGCCCGAGGATCGATCCTACGGTTCCTGCTTGGCGGAGAGCGCGGGCGAGGGGCACGCCGAGCTCAAGGTCCTACCGTGATGGTAACCGTAGGGAGATTGAGCGGATGGGTAGGGCCCGCCGGGCGACACGGGCGGTGCAGAAATTCCCGCCTGGGGGTAGTGCCGCGGTGCGGCGTATTGCGGCGGCGGGGCGTCTCCAAAGGAAAGGTGCCCGCGGCTGGGGGGTGGTGCGGCCTCGTAGCCCGGCGGCGGTGGTGGCGGAGGATACGGATCGACGGCCGAGGGCCGCCGAGTAGCGTCGCCCCCGTACTGAACGCGCGGCTCGCTCGAGTTGCTGAGGGACCGAGGGCGGATGCCGTGAGGGTCTTCGGATGCGGGAGTAACGGTTCGGCGGCGCGAGTATTCGTCGTCGCGTCGTTCATAGCCGTTGGACTTGCCATCGCGCTTCCTCATGCGCACGTCGCGTCGGATCCGGACGCGGCACCCTTGGTCAGCCACCGTCTTGCTGAGCTGGGTGCTCTCCATGAGACCAGGGAACTTCTTGGCGCTGTAGACATTGAAGGGGTGCGTCTTGATCTCCATGCGCCAGTCGACGCCGGGGGGCAGGTCGCTGTCGGCGGGCTCGAGATCAAAGTCCTTTTCCTCCTTGGTCGTCTCGAAGAGGCTGAAGGATAGGCGAAAGTAGCCCTCGTGGCGGACCGAGAGGTCGGGAAAGATGAAGTAACCGGCCTCGGCAGGTCGGTCCAGATACGCCATGCCCGACGCAGGAACACCCGTCAGGATGGGAGGGTTGCTGGCAGCAGGGGTTTGGACGCGGCCGTGGGCGACGTTGCGGGCCTGCTCCAGGCTCGCGTAGAGGAAGAAGTTGGCATTGTAGTCAAAGGTGATGTCCTTGCCCTCGTCGACTGAGGGGCCCTCGATGATGCGGAGCTCCACGACGGGCGGGGGATCCACCGGGCGTCGGTCACTGTTGGCTTTGCGACAAGTCAGCAAAGAGAGGGACGGCTTGATGATGCGTCCATGTGGTGCAAGGAGACGCTTGACCGACATGCATACATGCGCTAGCCAGAGGCATCAGGGACGCGGCTTTGCCTACCTTTCATACCTGAACCACATGCTCGAGCGCGTTCAGGCTGTTGCAGGACCGTCAACTGATACCACAGGCTCCTGTTTTCTCTGGTGATGCGGTGGATGCGCTGGACCGAGTCTCGCGAGCAATTTGTGGGAATGGAAGCGGGCGTCGCCATGTTGTCGAGTCTGCAGCACGGTCGATGGGCCGGTCTAAGGTGGGAGCATCAGCAAGCCCGTCGGATACGAGGAGGATGCGAAGCGCAGGGCTGAGAGCACAAAAGTCGAAGCCAAAGGGCGGTGGTGTAGGCGTCTTCAGGGCGAGAGGACACGAGGATGCTCACCTGCGCTGTGATATATGTGGTCGGCGGTCAAGACGGCCGGCCGGCCTGTCACTGGCCAGACGGCAGAAGCACGTCTCGGGTATCGAGCTCGAGAGGGGGGGGAGCGAAGAGGAAGCAGCGTGAAAGAGACAAAGGACAAAGGCAGCGGTGGTCGATCAAGGGATCCGGGACGAAGCGAGAGAGGAAAAGAGAAGCGTGAGTGGAAGAAGGAATAGCAGAAGGAATAGCAGAAGGAATAGCAGGAGGATGGGGGGAAGGAACGGGTCCCTCTTGGCAGGATCAAGGTACAGTACAGGGGAGACACGGCCAGGGTTGAGACGGGACGGGTACAGCGAGTACATGCAGGCCCAGGCAAAGACAAGAGTCGGGTACATGTGCTGCAAGCTGCGGGCACCGAGAGGCTCGGGCAGCCAAGGCCGGCGTCGAGGTACCTGGTACTAGGTGCGCAGGTACCCGCGATGGCGGAGGTGTTATCACGCGCAAGCACCGCCGCTAGGAAGAGGAGGAGGAGGAGGCTCAGGAACAGGAGAGCACGAGGCGAGACACGGGCAGCAAGACTCACGGGGTGGATGGCTGGCCGTGCCGTCTGGTGTCAGCGGGCGCGGGCTGGTTGGCTGGCTTGGCTTGGCTGGACGGCTGTTGGCTGCGGCGTGGGTGAGTGAGTGAGTGAGCGAGCGAGCGAGTGAGTGAGTACGGGCTGGCGGGCGGGCTGGCTGGCAACAGATGGCGGAACTTGCAAAAACTTGGGGACAAGTCACTGCAGCAAGGCCCCGAGCGTCTGGGTAGCGGTTGCAGCTGGGGGGCGGGGTGGGAGGAGCGCCAATAATCCGTTGGACCCAGGAGGGCCTGTACAGCAGAGGGAGAGTCTGTGGGTGCATGCCCGGGATTTGGGACGCGACCAGGGGGTAGCTTTAGCCTTTACCCACCCGAGCCTAGGAGGGGGCAAACCAGAGGAGCGGGCGGCCACGATCGGGGGACGAGGTCTGGAGAATGGGGTGGCGAGTCATGCCCGAGCTGCAGCGCTACACACTTGCGTCTATGACCCGTGGTGCGGGTGCACGAGCAGATGGGACGTGACGGTGTGTGTGTGTGAGTGTGCGTGTGTGTGTGCGTGTGAAAGGGAGGGAGAGAAAGAGAGAGAATGAGGGCGTCGTGAGGTGCAGATCTGCGGGTATCACGGTGTACTCTGTACGGATGCCAGCACTGCTGAGTACTTACCTACCTACCTACCTACCTACCTCAGGTAAGTAGGTACCTAGGTAAGTAGGTAGGTACCTTGGGTACTCGGACTGTACCCAGCGGGCGCCCGCCTTTGTTGGTGCGTGCCTTGTGGCAGGGGGTCGGTCCGTTTGGCCGCCAAGCTCGGAGCCCGTCCGACGACCAGACGGGCGGGCAACAGCTTTTGTCTGTCTTCCGGCCGGCTCCATAATCGACATGCATGCATCAGGCAAATGCACCTCGACTCGATGCTACTGTACTGTACTGTACGCGATGCGCCACCAACTCTTCTGGTCCCCCATCCTCGCACGCTCGGAGCCCGCCGAAGCGTTACCGATCACCTGCTCACCCCCTCTTCCCTCTTCCCATCCAGCAGCAGAAGCAAGGAGCCACGAGACAAGAGCCCAGACATGGTTCGTCGTCGTTGGTCGTCGACACTGGTTAGCGCGAGCAAGCAAGCTGTTAGCGCCGGGGACTGCCTGGTCGCCGCCCGGGGTAGTTCGTACCTGAGTACTGTACGGAGTACAGGGGCTCCCTGTGCGATGAAGACAAGACCGACTGTGACGCTTGCCAGCTTCATTTGCGTGTGCTTGTCGACGGCCAGCGAGCCCGGGGCAAGATGTGCACTGAGCCTCAAAGATGTACTCGACATGTCCAAAGTACGTGCATACGCAGAATGATGCACCGAAATCAAAGCACAGTGTCCAAGTATACTGCCGCCAGGCCGTCCATCTCTGCGGGGAGAAGAGCACATGTGTTTAAAACCGTGCAGCCAAGTCGCACCAACAGCATCAAGCCCGAGGAGGAGGCAGGCTTTTAGCTGAGACGGCAGCGAGAGACACGGGTGTGAAAGGGGGCAGCACGGTCAGCGCTGGTCCAGATCCGTCAAGCGGAGTACGGAGTACGGATATGTACAGTACCTACCTACGGAGTACTGGTTCGTCTCCCCGAGCCTTGTGGCGCAGTCGGCCGCGTGCACATGGCATTTTTATGTCTCAGGCTGCCTCGTGCGCTGTACATGCTTATGCTCTTTGTGCAAAGTGCACACTGAGTGAGGATCGGGTGCTTCCTACGGATATGCGTGTGCAGCCAGCACACACACACACCGCATCGCGAGCCGGCATCCGGAGAGCAGACAAGAAGCATAAAGATGTGCCGCCGCTCATCTGTCGCATCCCCATTGTCCCCCTCAAAGTACCCGGTACGGACATAAATGGCACCATGGCCTCGGCACAGTGCAGCTATCGTGCTTTGGGTTAGCGGCCCGGGCATCTGTGGTTCGCGGGCCCGGGACGGCGCTTGCACCCAGACCGGGGTAGCGTGGCTCGTTCCTTGGCCGTCTACCAATGCCCTCTCCGACCGACCGACCTGCTAATGCTGCTGCCGACACCAAGTGCGAGACGCATGTGCGTACGGATATATATGTATATATGCATATATGTATATATATATATATATGGATTACCAGTAAAGGCCAGAAATGCGTCGACCGTCGAGCCATGACTCCAACGCCGATGGCTGGGGCCGTGGCACTAGCACGGGACGGGCCTGGGCGTCGTCGGAGAATGCAGTCGGACTTAGCAGCGACCCACAGCGGGCGACGCTGGGGCTACGAGCCCCTCCGGTACTGGGCAGGTTCCGGACCCAGCTCGCCCTCCTCTGTGCTCGGTGCGCTCGGCAGTGCGCTGTACGTGTCCTCTACTCAAGCTCGCTGTACCTGCCGATGGTCGTCCCCACGGCACCCGCTCGCACGAGACGAGGAGCGCATAAGAGATTGAACACAAAAATTGCCTTTTCCAGCTCTCTTATTTTGCTTACAGTACTTACAGTACAGTACTGCCGCGTCGGACATGGACCGCAACCACGGAGACGGTTACGGCGTTGGCGCTGAGCCGTCCTGCTGGGTTGCCTTTTGTGGGGGTTACAGAGTTACAGGACATGGCACCTCGTCCACGGATACACCCACGTGCAGTAGTAGGTACTTTTTTCCACGCCGCATTTTATGTAGGTACTAGTTAAGTCAATGGTCTGGGCTGGTGCATGGCTAGGTAGGCCGGGGGCAAAGCAAGGAACCAGACGCGAGCCCTTGACTGAGTCCAAGGAGTGACGGTGCCTTCATCGAGGCAGCCAAGAGGATGCCATCGTCCTCGTGCTCCGAGCCATGTACTGTATGTATGCAATGACCGATCGAGGTCACGGCCTGCCTCAGATTAGGCACCGTATAGTAGAGTACATATGTGTGTTACCACGTGCATGCACGGCACGCCTGCTGCACCGAGCAGGAAGAGCACAGTGCCACGCCCTCCCGCAGGCGCCCAATCCTGACCGCAAGCCAAATGGCACGGGCACTGCTTTGTAGCCAGGCTTGGATGCGACACCCTCGTCATTTCTCACCCGCGGACAAGGAAGACGGCGTCCCGCTCTCGTCTATTCCCGCCGCCCCATCGTTCACTCGGGGCCCCCATGACACCGGCACCGCACCAGAGGTCACGCTCCGTCGCTTATGCACTGTACTCCCTCCGTACATGGCCGGTCGCTTCCTGTGTAAATGCGAATACGGAGCAGCATAACCCCTTTTACACAAGGATGTGAGCAACGGCAAAGATGGATGGCCTTTTATTTCATATCGGATGAACCATCCGTTCCAGCGAGCAAGCCGGGTGCAAACGGACAGTAATACAACCTTTGTAGTCTCCCCATCAACCCCCCTGGACTGCTCAAAGACCTTCGCCCACCAATGTCAGCCAGCGGTGGCATCGCCGAAGGTATGACTTACAGTACAGGACGACAGAGCGAGACAGCCATCAAAGTATCGATGGGTTTGCTGAGCACTGCTGCAAGTCATGCTCCAAGTCTCTGGGAGCTTGGGCAACGCAAGGCACAAGCCTACAGGGACAATAGTCGAGGAATTGCCTTTGAAAACGGCCCTTTGTCTGCTGTTCGAGCGACCCGGCTCCGCCGTGGCGGATCTTGGACCCCGTCAAACCTACCGGCTCTCCATACCCACCTTCCTCTGCCCCGGTGTCGGCTGGGTTCGACGTGCCTGTTGCGCCGTTTATGTACATGTTGTTGTCTACGCCGCAGTTCCAGACTCTCGTCGTTTTCTAATTATGTTATTTATTAGTCTTTACAGACTAGGCGTCGATAAAGGCCCCCTGACCTGCTGTTGCTTCCAAAGTGCATCGGAGGCACTGTACGAGATTGAATGCTCGTTCCGCACTCCGAACTGCATCCAAGGACTATGCCACAGATGTGTGCACAAGCCCTTGTCGAGACAAGCTTGCACAAAACCCAGTCGAGCACACTGTACGTACAGCACCCTGCAGAAAAAGCAGCTGCAGTGGCCTTCGGCTATTCTGGCCACTGAGCGGCGTGCCGCATCTGCCTGGCGCCGTGGATGATGCCACAGTGCGGCGGATGTTTGGCGCCAAAGGAGACGGGGTTTTTGCATATGCTCACAGAGGCATCGCCTGATCTACTACGCGTCCTCAGTGCCGACTAGTAGCCTAGGTACCTGTGCAGTACAGTACGTACTTGACCCGTAAGCCCGAAGAGTTGTCCGGTACGGTACTGTACGGCACTGTACGCGCATGCTACGCTGCACGGTGCCACGCTGCACGGTGTGACGCTGCACGGTGTGACGCTGCAGGTGGGCGCGCGTACGGAGCACCGTGTATGTAGTGCGGACACTGCCATGATTCGCACTGTGCAGTCCAGCTGCTTGCGCAGGGCTCTCGCTCGAGCCTCCTCACCGGCCTGCCCTCGTCAACCATGCCCACGGAATCCCCCCAGACAGGGAGAGCAAACGTCCGTCCATCCGCACTGCCTCGGGAGCAGCGCAGACAGACGTGACCAACGGGGCTCCCTTTTCCTTTGCCCCGTTGCCGAGTGTCACGATGGGCCAGCGTCGTCGGAGCAGCCTTCGCTGTCTCGACACGTCTGGCTCACCGGCCTCCCACTCACGCTGCCCGTCTCGGTGCGAATCCGCCTCTGCATAACGGCAAAGCCTATCGTGACCCCGGCGACGGTCCGCTTCCCTGGTCGCGGCCCTCGCATCACCGGAAACCTTTGCTCTGGGCCGTGTTGCCCACCATTCCCAGGACAAGTGGATGCTGCATCTGCATCTGCCTCTGCATCCATTGGTATGTACATGTGCAGCACGGTACGGAGGCAGGGTGTGCGTCCACGGCTGCCTTCTTGGGTATCTGACAGGCATGCGTAAAGGCTGCTTGCTAACCATCCTACAGTACAGTACGGACATCCGTACCTACGTGCTGCACTACACAACGGAGTACAGTACTCAGTACTCCGTACGCAACACACTCACGAAGCTGCTTTCAGCCCGCCAAGCACTTTGTGCAGCACCAATCTTCGGCACCCCCAACAAGCTTACACACAACCTCACTGCCCATGTAGGCATAAATTGCCCCTCAATCAAACCGAAAGACCATGTGCCGCCGCCCAAGCAAAATCCCCAACGGGGCCAACTGCCGTCTGGGACGTCCGATTTGATTTATTACAGTCCAGGTCGCAGCAGCATGGCCAAAGGTTAATTGGACGTTGGCAATTTGGCCAACGCATTGCTCCACCGTCTCGTCCATTGTCCCAATAAATGGAAACCGTCGTCGTCCTGGCTGTGTTCCCTGCCACGCTCAAACCATCGCCCACGGCCGACATCGCCCACCCGCACCGGCATTGGGCCAAGCAAAGCCATGCAAGTCATCAAGGTCTTCTCCCTACCTCGCCGACCGATCCAAGGGCATCTCTACAGTGCGACGGGGCCTTTGATCCCACGACTAGACAGCATCCATGTTTGCTTCCGTGCCATTGCAGCCTGACGCAGCGATCAAGCCAACCGTTCTGAGAAACCAGCCCCGATCCAAGAAACTTCTGCTCACGCAACCTGCACGAGGCAAACAGGCGCCCTTCCCGCGGAGCATCCGTCAAACATGCTGCACGCTCAGCACGGGTTTGACCGATCGACGGGGACACGGTTCTCTGTACGCCCAGATGGGGCGAGGGTGTGCTACAGAAAGCCGGCACGGTGCAGGGCTGTGTGACCTCGCGGCTTCAGATGCTGCCTCGCCCTGCGTCCCCCAAAGATTCCAGTCTGCCCCATGCTGCGTCCAGGGTGGTCAAGGGGAAGCATTGGCCCAAGCCTGCAGCTCTGGTCCACACAACCTCGTGCACCTCCTCGTGTCGTTGGCCCTTCGCCTCTGACATTTACCAGCCTGCCATCGTCAATCAAATACGTTTTCCGTCGAATTGCCGGGACACTGGCCAACCGACACGAGCATCCCGGAAAGTCCCGTCTTTTCAATCCAACATCTGCATTGGCCCAACAGCCAATATGTGCGCTCACAGCATACGTCCAATCATGCCTCACAGAGAGGTTCTGGCAGACATGTGCCAGATGCAGGGGCTGAGACGATTAGCTCCGCATCATGAACCGTTGGACACGACGACTTCCTTCTGTCACTTCATCGCACGAGGGCGGTAACCAGCCATCATCATATTGCGTCATGGCCGCTGCTCCCAACAGAACATCGCCTCCCGTGCAAGAAAAAGAAAGAGATTCCCGGTGTGGCAATCAGCAAGCATGCTGGTCCTCGCTCTCCAACGCCGCACGTTGTACCCTGGGCCTGATGTCACGTTTTGGCGCTCGTGGCGCGGCACGTCGATGCTCTCTGCGTTTCCGTCACAGCTTCAGATGAGCATAATGGCTGCAGGCAATGTCTCAAACCTCGCGGTCCTTCATCCGTCCTGTTTCAGTCCAGACACTTTCCCCTCGTCTTGTCCTCCACCCGGCCGCGTGTCGACGTCGAGACGCCTCGACGTACCAACCGTCCGCGACTGTAGCTGACGAGTCCGTTCCGGGCGGTCGGTCTTGAGCCAGGGGAATGAAACTCGAAGCTATGCGGCACGCTCATGCTCGGCTGCGTGCACAAATATGCGGGCAAACTCAGACATGCTGCGACAAGACATCATTTTCGTTGCCTGCTGTGTTCCTCTGCATTGTCTGCGGCGGCCTATGGCACGCCACGGCGAGACACCGACCCTGACCCCAGGAACCAGATCGCCCACCCTGTTAGTTTTTCGACTGGTGTCTCGTCCGCCGTGAGACTTTAACTCCCGTACCAGTCAGAGTTGCTCCTAATCGTTGTCGCTGGAACAGTGCGAGAGCAGATACACGCCGACGAATCAAGGTCGTGCAACGAGTTTGATAAACTGATGGTTGTGTTTCCTTTATGAGACCACATCCCTCAGACCGTCTCAAGCCACAGAAACGCACCTCTTGTCTATAAAGGACGCCGGTCTTTGGCGGGCGTCTCGGCGCCTTGGTGAGACGTCAGGGCCGTCCAGTCACGCGTTGGCTTTTCTCGGTGAGCTAGCGCGAGACAAACGCATGCCACATTTGGATCAAGGCCAGATGGCGCTTCCCCGTTTCGGGCGGCCCTTTGGCGAGGTTTCACCGGCGACGACGCGGGAAACACGATGACGGTGCCTCGGCCGCTCCCGTCCAACCTGCCCTTTTGTGAGCTCGATCTGCAAGTCTAACGGTGGGCAATCCGGGTCGGAGCCGGCGTATGGGACCCCCTTTAATCATTTTATTCTCCCTATGCAGTCAAGAGCTCTAATTGGCTCCTTAAAGCTAGTGACCTTATATACCACGTTAATTGCTAGGACTTAAAAGTACCGACTGCCCTACGTAGACCTACTTATTCTACACATAGTACTCTATCAAGAGGACATTTTTCTACCTTGGTTATATTTCTAAAAGAATTTTTCTAAGCTTTTAAATTAGCTTATCTACTCTTTAAAGTGCTATAATCACTATAAAAACCCTACCGTCCTATGCATCGCGAATTTCGGTAGCGTATTATAGCTCTATGGCAGCAAGACTGTTAAGATGCGAACGTAAGGACAAAATCGTTATCAGTACTTAGCGCGCTAAGAATTTAGTATGGTGGATTTTATACACAGGGGGAATAAAAACGGCGCACAGGATGATTAAAGGGGGGTCGGCGTATGGCGGCTAGAAGACTGGAACTGTTCTTGACGTGACGTAGGGCAGGCTCGCCGCCGCCCAGGTACGGCTTTGGCCTGACTGACGAGCTCGTCTTGTCTTGTCTGTTCGTGGACAAGGCGTGCCATGCCTTGGGTCGCCGCCGCGGACGCCACCCCTCTTTCCGTCTATGCCTTGACTCACTCTTCTCTTGAGCACGCCCGCCAGTGTTTATTCCCCCTTTCTCCGAGTAAACGGGGGCCATACAACCTGGTAGGGCTCGTGGAAGGTCAGCCCTCTATGTGCCAATCCGGTTCATCTGTTCCATGTCTTGCATCCTTGCATCTGTCCCTCCACGAGGGGCTGATGTGCCCTGCCGCAGAAGGCGGACAGGGGGGATCTATTTGTTCTCTGGGAAAGCAAAAATGAGAAGAGAAGAGGGGAAGGAGAAAAGTACTGTATCCATCTACGCACGCACACTCAATCACACGGGACAAGGTACTCTGTACGAAGGACAATATACCATGTTGGTGCTGGATGATGCTTGGTAGCGAGTGTTCGTGTCTGTACTGCTGCAGTGTATCTCGTATACCCTCATACACATCTACTCAATTCGGCGTTGTGGTACGCTCGCGCTGCAATTCCCCAATGGCCCACCAGACAAGGATGGGGTGGTTGGGGAAACGAAGGAATAAAAACAAGTCAAAAGCCACCATCGCCTGGCGGCCGCAGTGACGTGGCCATCCCAAGGGCATCAAGACGACATGAAGCCACCCTCCCCTCGCCCAGCCAGCACCATAAACTTCTGCTCCGTTCATCTGCTACTCCATGATCTTGTGCTTCTCCCCCTAGCCTGCTGCTGCCGAGAAATGGCGACAAGCCAAGGGTCCAGAGCGTCTGCCTCGCGTCGGATGGTGCAGGGGGAAGATGAGTTCGCGGGGGCTTGTTTTCTTCCAAGGCCAGGCTTATTACATGAGCGGATAGGGCGGGAGAGAGGAAGAGGGCGGGGCAGGCATCAGCTTGCTCGCATCTTGGTCCATGGACAACCTGACACTTCTGCTGGATATCTTCCTCTCCCTTTCGCCACCCATTCGTGTTTCCCTATCCTCACCCAGGCGAAGAACCTCATCAACGACGCACCGTTTGGGAGGGCTTGAGATTCGGCGGTGTATGGCCGACGCGGTAATTCTGCTAATACGTCGCGTGATCAATCTGCCACGCCGCCGTCTTGGCCCGCTCCCTGACGTCCAGGTCACGGTCCTGGTGCCTGAGCGTCTCCATCTTGGTGTGGAAGCCCAGCCGCTTGAGCTCCGACGCCCGCGCGGCGCACTGCTGCGCTTCGCCGTCGTCCTCCTGACACGTCAGGTTGATGACGAGGTGGCAGAGCGCGACCCGGACTTCCCTGTCCTTGCTGCCGGCCTGTTGAGCCAGGAGCTTTAGGAGGTCCGTCTGGGAAACGACGAGCTGTCGGTGGCGCGGGATGCTCGCGGCCATGTGGACGAGGATGTAGATGACGGCCACGATGATTCTCGCCTGCGGGTGGAGGACCCGCAGCGGCTCCCGGCCGGGCGCCGATGTCCGTCGCGAAAATGGATGCAGTGGCTTGGTACGCAGCTTGGCTTCCATAATCTCAAACAGGCGGTCTTCTCCGAGCTCGCGGAGTAAAAAGTCTATCATCTCCGTAGTCTCACTGGGCGTCTCCGACGAGGCTCCTGACTCCGGCCGCCCAATGAGATTCCTGATGAAGTCGAGGCCCTGCTCCTGGATGGCAATGTCGTCGTTGCGAGCCCGCCGCACCGGGTTGAGCTCCGTCTCGCGGATGGCAAACAGCCTGTCCTCGGCCTGACGCAGCCGCGACGACCGCGAGGCATCCAGTTCGCGTATTGACCCGTTGCTGCCGTACAACCACCGGAAAGGCTGATCTGAAGGCTGCATGTCCATGTCCTCGTCTAGGTCGTCGTCGGCTGTGTCCTTGAATCTCGAGTCGTGGAACGCCGTGTTTTGGCTGTCGTCACATATTAGCTGCACCAGCCAACCCGGCTCCAGCTGGTGGAGGCTGGCTTTCTTGAGCTCCGGTCCGACCGCATCGACAAAGTGCTTGAGCGCCCACAGCGCGTTGAGACGGAGCGCCGGGTTGTCGGAGTGCGCGTGCTCGCAGAGGACCCTCATCACGCCCTTTTCGGTTAAGAACTGCCCAAATATTAGCTTTGCCACGCTTGCGCCGCGTGGCCCGCCTGGGGGAGGGCATCTCTTACCTCTCGCACGGGACTGACTTCCACGACCAGGTTGATGACGGTGGCCGTAGCGGCAATTTGGACGTTGACATCGCGGTGGGTCATGAAGTGGAGTACCGGCAGGGAAACGGCGTAGTCAACCATGGAAGTGCGCAAGATGCTCACCGAGCGAGCCAGCATTCTGACCACGTGGCAGCCGGCAATGATGACGGACACAGGATTGGTGCCGTACGCGGGCGAGGGGCCCTTCCGGGCAGGTTCGCCGCCGGGCCTGTCCTTGGAGCGCTCCTTGGCCTGTCGAGGTTTCCTCGGCCACTCGCACAGCGACTCGACGACGTAAGGGACCAAGTCCTCGGCCACCAGCGCCTTCCTGTAGTCCTCTTTGCCCGCGGATAAGGCGCCAATCGCTTTGAGCGAAGCTTCTCGGAGCTTGATGCGGTGAGCGAGCACGGGGTTCTGGCCCCTCCCGCCGAGCTGCGCCGATGCCGAGGTGCTCCCGGCATCCACTGTCGTGTCGGGCTGTGGCGACCAATACTTGGGCTGGTCGAACGACGGCACAGGCTGGTAGGCGCGCTTCAGTAGTTTGGTCAGGATCTTGACAGCGTCGCAATCGTATGCCGATTTCTGGAGGTATTCGCTGTCCGTGATCAACCGTGCCAAGACAGCCGGGGCTTTCTCGAGAATGAATCGCTGCGTTGCAAGGGCCGGGCCCTCTGAGTCTGGGGCATCCTTGTCGTTCTTACCCACCATGCCGATGAGAATGGGAACCACAAGCAGGCCAATGCTCGTCTCCCTGACGGATTTCCGTCCCAAGCCTGCCTTGAACAGGGCTGCGAGAACAGCCACCGCCATCAGGCGATCGTATTCGCCCAGTGTCCGCACCAGGTGGATGAGCCAGGGGATGAGCGGACTTTCTACGTTTTCCATGGCGCCACCATCGCCGTTGTTACCAAGAACTTGGGCGCGCGGGGAATCCCATATGGCGGCAGAACCGAATTTGCTCAGAGACGTTCGGCTCGAAGTCCGGGATTCGACCCTATCGGGCGTGGGCAGGGACGAGTGGGCTGCTGAATGGCTTCGCGAGAGGTTGATAGGCATGGCAGGGAGAATGAATTCCATGGCGGTCATGGCGTGCGGCTGGCTCTGCGGCCCCTTGTGCAAATCGAACTTGACGGAGGGGAATATAGCTAGGAGGGTCGGCGAGTTGGCCAGTCGGTTCGCGCGATATTTGGAGTCGCCAAGGATGGCGGCGATGGCCTCGAGAATAGGGCCAATTTTGGCACCGGCGCAGGCAGGCTCGGGAAACACCTCGTAGAGACCATCGCTGTAGGCCAGCTCCTCGGCGCCAGGCACGACCAGGCCGTCACGCACAGCGAAGCGGGCGAGCTGCGTGGCAAGAGAGTCGAGGACGCCGCCGGCAGCTAGCGCATGCTGATGGCGCTCTTCTCGACACAAACGGCATATCAGGCCAGCTGCTAGCATCACTTGCGACTGCAGGAGGTGCTTGGTCGAGGTGATGGAGAGCATCACATTGAGGGATTCTATGTGGTGGGGTACGAAGAGGCTGTCGGCGAGGAGCTGGATGTCGATGCACGACGAGAGGGTGGCCAGCGCGGCGGCGTCTGCGATGTCGGTCAAGGCTTTGAGCGCAGCCACGACGATCTGAGGCGGGTTCGAGAGCGGCGAGAAGTTGCTGCCGAGCAGTGCGGGTACAGCCCGGGCGGCGTGAAGCGGCGCAAGGAAAGCCGGTCCTCCTGTAAAGGCCCCATCAGCAAGGGAGGCTTCAGTGGAGGGCCTGCTGGGGCGTAGACGTACCGCTGGCAAAGCTTGCAATCAGCTGCAGAGCCTGCTGCCTGACGCTGTCCTCGTCGGCAAGAGGACGCCAGGCGAGCTGGGTGCGAGCATCCTTTCCATTCGGCTTGGACGGCGAACGGGAGGAGCAGAGAGTCAGGACAATGGGTTCGAGGACGCCGAGGCTGATCCAGGCCTCCTTCTTCTGGATGTGGCCGACAACTTCATTCTTGAGTACCTGCAAGGCGGCGGCCTGCTCGGGATACGTCTTTGCGCTTCGCAGCTGGGCTAGGATGGGGGAGTTCTGGGGACGCGCCATGAAGCCGACTCGGGCGATTGCAGATGCGGTTCAGTCGGGGGGGGGCAACGAATCGGCATCACCTACAGGGGACCATGGACTGCGTGCCCAAGACGTAGGCCAGGCCGTCGTCCCAGGCGCAAGAGGGAGGAGACGCGCGGCCGACGAGGTAGACGGCGCGGGCAGGGCGATGTGAGGAGGCGCCAAGGGGGTGATCCGGAAGTCCGTTTCGACTAGGCAACGCTGATGATGGGCCTTGGCGTCACGACTGGTCGTGGGGAGAGGGCGGCAGCTGGCGACGAGTCGTCATGCCAAAGAGGGTTGTGGTGATACTTGAAGGGAGGGCACGTGTTCTGCCTATCTCTGTTATCTTATCAGGCCCGTCGTCTCCGGCTTGGGCGAGCTTGGGCCCTGCCTGGCCTCTGGGGTAGGGTAGCATCGGGTAAAAGAGGCAGCTTTGCCCGATAGGGGGCGAGTACCGAGTACATCACTGGAAGCAGTCGGCTGTGCTGCCTCTCTTGAGTCTTAGGTATACGCTACAAAGGACACGGAAGAGTGCACTACAAGCATCGGCAAGGGAGTAAGGGACATACAGAACGAAAGAATAAACGATTCCATGAATTGTACGTGGTCTAATAATATGGGTTCGAGCGTGGTAAGTGATGATGGGTGATGAGCCGGAGCTGCGAACAAGTTGCCGAGCTTCAAGTTGTCAACCACACACACAAACCAGTACAACTGAACCAAGTTGTTCTCATCCCCTTGGTTGCCGAGCATACGGGCGACTGGGGGTAAGTTTATAGCAGAATGAAATATGTCTATGTAATGCGAGAATTTGCTTGTATCGTCTCGCGTCCTTGTCCGCTGCATTTGAGACAGATGAGAAGCTCGAGAGGGGCTGTTGTCATCTTTAGTTCCTCACCACGATGTGTAACAACTAACAACAGCCTCGTTTTCCTCAACAAGATCGCCGGCCACAAAGATCTGTGCCAATGCTAACGTGGCTACAGTAAATTTGAGATCATTGCCGGCTTCATCCTCAACCACAAAGCGGCTGCAAACGATAGCTCACTGTATTTTTGATGCAAACCTCGTGCTTTCCAGGGCCTTATTTTTCCACGTCCCGGCTTTGTTGGACAAGACGATGTGAGAGCGCTTAGGTTCGGCCTTGATAAGAAATCAAGAATCAATAGCTATGTAAAGGTTTTATGACATCCTGCCATATGCGTCATCCTTGTGCTGCATGCCGCATGGAGCCAGCGTCAAGCTGCTGCCTGGAGTCAACGGCAAGTAGCCGCTTGCTCTCCATTCACACACTCTCACTGTACCAAGACGGGCGACCGTGATTCAGGGGGCGCTTGACCGCTCGACGGGGCCCGTCAATGTCGCATCAAGGCAGAATGTATGCAAGTCGGGCGTATATATGCAGGATTTCATGCTACCAAAATTCTGCGGCCAGTAGAATTTTGCATGTCGTCTACGCTCCTCTCAACTCTCAAGGCACATCACAAGACCGCTGAACCTGCAGAGGCATAATGGAGCACTTAAGCAACTACCACCTACAAATATGAGTGGAGGCTGCTCCCTTTGTGGAGGCTGTGACCAGAGGGCCACTCCTGCTCCTCCATATTCAAAGGGATCTGTCAGCTGCCACCAGCACCTCCATGGCATAGTTATAGGGTCCACTACCAGGTCATCTGTTGGAGTGTCACTTCACTTTTGCCTGCACAACTGTGAAAGGCTGGCCCGGAGTTTATTCAACAAGCAGGTGCCTAGATGTTGTCTATCTAGAGCTAAGGAGGAAAAGAAGCTGAACTCGAGGCGTAGCCTCGAGTGCGAGCTTATATTACCCTTCTCGGAATGTTCTCGCAGCTTCTGGGTCCGCGGAGCGGGGCCGGTGTTGCCACCGGAGCACGACCCACCGGACCCGGTACAACCGGGTCCACCAGCCGGGCACAGCCCGTGACATTACCCCCTTGTCCCCTCCGACCAGGTCGGCGTCTGCGGGTTCTTGCGTTCCTGCCAGCGTCTCGTACCTCTCCCTAGGGCCATCATTGGTCTTGATTGGCCCGTACTTGTCCTCGAATGCCTTCATCGCAATTGTTCCTTGCAACCACTCAACTGGCTCCCAAGTCGGCTCTGCGTAGCCCGTCCATCGCACTAGTGCTTGCCTGAATTCCCCTCGTCCCCGCTTCTTCCATCTCGCGCAGAGAATCTCGTCGACATCCCACAGATTCGTGCCGGACTCATCTTGTACCGGTGGTGGCTGTGCGTCATCTACCTTTTGGCCAGGAGCCGGATCTTGATGCGCCCGCCGCAAAGGTCAACATGAAATCGCGGGTAAATTGAGCCACGAACATCGAGCTCAACAACGTGCGAACTAATTACCTTCGTGACTGTGTACTTGTGATGCAGCCAGTCGAGCTTCTTGCACGGTCGTGGCGATCTGTAGTTTGCCATCGAGAGCCACACCTTGTCACCAACTTCAAATCGCTCCGCAGGCTGTCGCTTTGCGTTGGCAGCCTCTTCTTGTTGTTGCTGTGAGGAGGCCATCACTGCTTGCATGTACTCATTGACCTCCTGCAGGCGACTGAGTAGGCTATCAGCTCTGCTTTCCTCTCTATGCCTCGGTGGCTCTTCCGATTCCTCGACGCTGATGGGATCGACGTGGTAACCATGCTCAGCGAAAAAGGGCTGATCTTGGTCGCTGCGGATTCACGATTGTTGAGTGCCAGCTGCGCGGCAGGGAGCAGTTCTCCCCAGTCGTCCTGCACGTACGACACGTAGGCTCTCAGGTAGGCCTCGATCTCCTGGTTCATTCTCTCTGGCCCTCCGTCCGTCTGAGGATGATAGGCCGTGCTCAATTTCTGCGTGACACCTGCAAGACGGCAGAACCTCTTCCAGAACCTACTTAGCCAGTTGCTCCCGCGGTCGCTGACGATGGACCGTGGCATTCCGTGAAATCGGTAATGACACTGGAGAAAACGGTTTGCACACGGCTCAGCTTCCATGTTGTCCATCACCTCGAGGGTCACAGCCTTTGTCAGTCTGTCCACAATCACCCACAGGTACCTTGCCTTGCTCGGTCCAGTAGGCGGCAGATCTGTGATGAAGTCCATGGACAAATGGCTTCGGGGTCGATCTGGAATCGGCAGAGGCTTGAGAAATCCCTTTCGACTGGCGCCAGATGTGTGCTCTGCCGCAGGTGTCGCAATTGGCTACGTACCGGCGAACCAGCTGGGACTGCCCAGGCCAGTAGAATCGCCGAGCCACAATAGCCAGCGTACCTTCCCTGCCGGGATGACCGGTCGCAACAGAGTCATGCGACTGCTGCACAATGCGGGTTCTCAACTGGTCTTTCTCAGCTTCCTCCTGGTTACCCTCCTCTCCGGATCCACCCGGCACCCAAATACGGTCTCTGAATGTCAGCCTTTGCCTGCGTCGATCGCACATTCTGAAATCTGGATCTTCAGGCCCAGCGAGGGCGGGAAGGCACGCTCGCGATCGCGGACTGCCTTATAGGCTGCCCGGAATATCGAGTCCTTCGCCACCGTTTCGTCCCAGAGTTGCTGCAGGTCCGCTACCTCGAAGACCTTCATCTTCGGCAGGGTGGATGCCTCTGAACAGTCAGAACTCATCGCGTTGATACATGCTCTTGTCGATGATGGAATGGCACTATCCGGTATCAACTGTATCATTCTTCCTTGTTCCCGCTCGTCGTCAATGCCCTGTGGCTTGTCTTGTTCACGGCGGGACAACGCATCAGGCACGACAGCCTCGCTTCCCGGTCGATACTCGAGCTTGAAGTCGAACTGGGACAATTCGGCTGCCCAACGGCTCTGCCGTTCCGTGAGCTTCTGGCGTGTCATGAAATACTCCAGGTTGCGGTGATCGGTAAGGATTGTAAATGGGCCGCAGCTCCTAAGTTCGGCGTTCCAGTTGTCGAGACATCTCATGATGGCAAGCATCTCCTTGTCGTGAATGGGATAGTTGTACTCCGCTGGCGAAAGTCGCTTCGAGAAGAAGGCGCATGCGTGTCGACGTCCATCTGGGCCTTCCTGCGACAGGACGCCTCCCAATGCGTAGCCTGAGCAATCCGTCTCCAAAAAGGTCGGGAGGCTCGGGTCCCACTGCTTGAGCACCGGTGACTCGCAAAATCGTCGCTTCAGCTCCTGAAACGCCTCGTTCTCCGCTCGTCCCCAATGAAAGGCAGTTCCTTTCTTAAGCAGGGCATCCAGAGACTGCGTGATCTTGGCATAGTCGGGGATGAAGATCCGGTAATAGTTGGCGAAGCCCAGAAAGCTTCTGACACCCTTCACCGTGGTCGGGGCCTCCCATTCGCGGATGGCGCGCTGCTTTTCGGGGTCGCAGGCGATTCCTTTCCTCGTTGACGATGAACCCAAGGTATTTGACCTCTTGTACCGAAAACTCGCACTTCGCTGGGTCTAGGTGCAGCCCAGCGTCGGCGAGTGCTTGGAGAACTCGTCGCACCTTAGCCTCATGATCCGCCTTCGAACCGCTCGAGTAGATCAGTACATCATCCAGGTACGCTGTGACAAAGTCGTCCAGCCATTCGCGCAATACACTGTTCATGTATCGTTGGAATGATGCCGGGGCGCCGCTCAGGCCGAAAGGGCACACGAGCCTCGTAGAGCCCAAACCTCGTGCGAAATGCAGTCTTTCCTCATGTCCCGGAGCCATGCGGATCTTATGGAAAGCGGCCACCACGTCCAACTTGGTGAACCACTTAGCCTTGGCCAGATTCTGCAGGGTCTCCGCGATGAGGGGCAGTGGGTATCGGTCGCGCTTGGTGATTGCATTCAGCGCTCGGTAGTCGCAACAAAATCGCAGCCCTCCATTCGGCTTCCGCACGAACAGCACCGGCGCGGCAGCCGCTGAGCTACTCGCTCGGATGAATCCTCTGTCCAGCAGGTCTTTCAGGGTCTTTCGCAAGACCAACAGCTCTTCTCGTGACATGTTGTAGAGTGGGCCCCACGGAAGGGGTGGCTCGTTGCCGTTCTTGTCAGGCTGCAGGTTGACTTCATGATCCACACCCGGTCGATGTGGCGGCAGCTTCATTGCCTCTCCTGGTGAGAATAGGTCGCGGAATTCTTTCAGCACTTCTGCCGGGACCTTCTCGCTCGGATCGACTGGCGGCTTCGGCTGAAGCGCCCTCTCTATATCCGACAAACTGATTGCATGAATCGAGATCGCGTTGCACTTCTTGCGTCTCTTTGCGCGTCGACACTCCGCCGTGAATACGGCTGCCGACACGAGTCTTGCGCTTCGAATCGCGCGTATCTTGGCGGGCTCTTCCTGCCCAATGAGGCGTATCGTCACACCTGCCCTCCCATGGTACATTCGCTGCTTGGCAGCATCGTACACGACGTGATTTCTCTCCATCCAAGGCCGGCCGAGGAACATGTCCTGGCCCAGGCTTGGGATCACGTATGCAAAGACACGTTCGTCAAATCCAGCTGTCTCGACCACAACAGCCACGACCCTGGGGATATGACACTCTTCGCTGACTCTGAGAATCCCCCAATTTCTCGTGGTTTCGAGTCGACGAAGGGTATCCGCAGCTTCCGAACAAGGGCTTCGTCGATCACGGCATAGCAGTCACATCCACAGTCGACAAGGGCGCGTATTCGATAGCCTCGGTTTACCCGCGCGTTGACTAATACAGTCCGACTATTCATTCGTGGCTTGAACGCTTCCCAGTCCCGGATGTCTGCCTTTGCAGGCCCCGGCGCCCGCTTTCGCCCGGGGCTAGTCTTTTCCCGCCGACTCGTCCTCACTGGATGCTGCGGTTGATTCCGAATCATCTGCGGCATCGGGCTTCTTCATGCGCGCAGCTTTAGGTCGCTGTTGCTTCCCTTCGCCAGGAAAGACCACCTGGGCTGGGCAGTCCACGATAAGATGATCCGTCCGACCACAGCGATAGCAGCGGCGCTCATCCTTCGGCTTCTTATCGACATGTCGACGACCCTTCGACTCGTGGCCAATACGGTTGATGTCCGTCATCTTAACATCTCCGTCGGGGTCCTCCGGTTCCTCCTTGGGTCGTTGCCTTGGTAGCTGTTGAGGCGTCCGCTCAGTCGACGTCGGCTGCCTACCGGGTTTCAGTCTCTCCAATCTGCCCGCAATTTCCTGAACTCTCGCAAGCCATCCCTGGTAGTCGTCGGGTAGGACGGCTGTGACCAAACTCTCTTGGAGGCGTGCATTTATTGCGTTCTCTAGAAATACGATCTTTGCACTGTCCGGCCAGTCTGCTCCCCCGGCTTCAGCTAATGCCTGTTCGAATCGGGGAAGGAAGGACGCGAGAGGTTGGTCTTCGCGCTGCCGCATAGTTCTCAGCGTGGCAGCAGCGCGGGATGGATGTTGCTGTCCTGGTAGGTTCGGTCGAGGTATCGCATGAACTCTTGGGGTCGTAGCTACCCCAGGGCCTCCCGCGGCGTAAAGGTAGCGACCACTTGCTGTGGTCGCTCGTCCAAACATGAGTTGATGAGGTACCAAAGTTCGCGATTTCCACTGTAGTAGTGTGCATCAAGGTCCAGCTTGTCTCGCATCTGCCTGGCCCAGGAGGAGTAGCTCTTCCGTGAGCCGTCATACTTGGGTGGGTTGGGCAACGGTTTCCGCATTCCAGTACCGCAGGTTTTGGGAGGGCGTGCCCAAGCCAGGCGTGCTCTCGCCCAATCCTCGTGCCACTGGCGGCGATTGCAAGTCGGCGCTCTGCGGCTGCGCTCGCCCGAGTTGCTCCATCAGCAAGGAAAGTTGGTCCTGTAGAGGGCTGAGAGTCGCATTGACCGCTTCTTGAATGCGTTGGTCAATCCATTGCTGCTGGAGACTTGGGCTCTCACTCTGCTGGTCCATCCTGACGAGCAGTCTGCAGCTTGCGGTATTTAGAAGGAGCTCTAGATATGTGAAAGGCTGGCCCGGAGTTTATTCAACAAGCAGGTGCCTAGATGTTGTCTATCTAGAGCTAAGGAGTAAAGAAGCTGAACTCGAGGCGTAGCCTCGAGTGCGAGCTTATATTACCCTTCTCGGAATGTTCTCGCAGCTTCTGGGTCCGCGGAGCGGGGCCGGTGTTGCCACCGGAGCACGACCCACCGGACCCGGTACAACCGGGTCCACCAGCCGGGCACAGCCCGTGACAACAACCCAGTGGTTTCCTCACAGGATCAGACTCCCGCTCCATCGTCAGCGGCGACGGGGACGACGACGACGACGACGACGACGACAACGACAGCTCGCAGCCTCGACGCCCGCCACCGACGTCTTAGCCACGGCGGCATTGCGTCCATCTCTCTCTCGCCCCAAGTCAATTTGCCGACGCCTCCGCTGCGCTTTCACCAGGGAACCTCGGCATTACATCCATTGCTCCCTCATCATGGCCTACTACGATACTATCAGAACCCAAGCCACCTTTTCTAAGCAAGCATCGGCCGAGGAAATGGAGAGCTTCGAGTCCCTGTACAAGTCTGACGATTTTGACTCTGGAGTCAGTCGCTGGGGCCGCAAACACCTGTTTGCAAGTCGAGTGCTCTGCAGCATACCCCAAAGGCGCCTCTCTCTATTCGTCGATGGCGGGGTTTTCCCATCATCTCCCAAGGGGGCACATCCTTACATCGATCGATTGATTAATGGTCCAGAACCCGCCTTCATGACCATGTGGGAGCCCCAGATTGTTCAAAAATGTCAGCCAGACTCTCTCGGCCATGTTTGGGCTGCTTTAGCCCAGCTATTGCGAAAACAGCAGGACAGCCCTGCAATGTCAGACAGACCTACACGACAGCGAGTGGAAACGAGCCAATATGGAGACTACGTATCGTCTGCAAGCATTCAGGTTGGCAGCAGCCCGCCAACTAGGCTAGAATCAGCGTCAGCCTCGTCTGAATCAAGCGTTGGGTTCATAGATGATTCATCACCACCCCCACCAGAGGATCTTACTGTGCGTCTAGCAAGCAGTTTTGTTCGTTTTGTCGTCAACTACGCCCAGCCAGAAAATACGCTGTCCCCTCCTATTCACTTCCGGGACCAGAGACTCACAAGCACCTACGAAACAATGGTTGCAAAGAGAGTGGTTCAAGCAACCGACGATGGCGGCTTGCAGTGTTATGCTGATCGACGTATGATTCAAGTGGCAAGTCTAGAAGGAAAGCGATGGTTCCAGACCTTCTCCGGTGATGGTCATCCGACGGTCTCGGATCGGACTTTCGGCCAGCTAGTGGGAGAGGCACTCGCCCTTCGACGTACCGGGAAGGCCGAAGTCATCTCCAAAGTCGAGTAAGTGTACCCATCTGGGCTCTCATCTTGTTCCTTTCAATTAACAGCCCTAGTCTTGTAACCATCCTCGCCGTTACACACTATATAAAGTTTTTCCACTTCGAAATCACATACGATTATATAGACGAGTACGAAAAAATCCTCCCTACGACAGATCACCATGACGCTACTTCTTTTCTACACGTTAATTCCACAGACTGGTTTGACATCAACATGCGGGACCATCGAAAGCAGATTATTTCACATGTCTTAGCCTTGGTGGCTTGGGCGAATGAGAAAAGAGACGGGGATAGAGATGACCATGCCATGGATGACTGAATCGACTACTTAACTCTTATTTTGTCTTTTCTAAGTAATAATCGAGCTGAACCTTGACTGATCCCTTGATCTGGTACTTAGTGATCTGGTGCTAGCTGCAAAGGCATTGGATCAGAAAGGTTGCGACTGTGCACTGATGAGCTATCTCTTTAGGCATTTAAGCAATGCAATTGCGATCAAGTGCTGGAAAGAGAGTGCACCAGAGAGACACTGGAAAGTTGTTAGTATCAATGCCGATCACAGCTTAATAACGAAGAAGGGAAAGGTGGCCCAATTTTTCAGGTGATGCTGCGGCTTGAGGAGGCTATCCTCTTTACTCTATGGAAGCACCATGAAAGTAATGTACAACTCATTTTATGTCGTTTCATATTAAACATAGGTAGTCCGTCATAGTTGGAACTTGGGGAATGGAGAATATGAAAATCCTTGTGCTCTTCTAACAATGGCTGCAGGAGCTAATAGGGTCGTCAAGTCTCCCTGACGTAGGGCTAGGGACATGTTATTGATTGCCCGACACTATATTGCGTGGGCCGGCGCTGAGTCCACAGCTCCCCTTTCTCGCATCCTCTCAACATTTTCCTCTGGAAGCAAAAGCGCGGTCAGACGACCGAGGAGAGATTGGTACGGCTTGTACGGAACAGTAGTGATCTGAACCGAGATGGCAATCGGCTCCGATGGCGCAACGGCAGGGTCGTCAAGGCTGCGCAGGAAAGAAGATGAAATGCGCGCCCTGTAGAGATGCATATACTCCTTGTCGCGGGACGAGACTAGCACTTGGGGCTAATGAGAAAACAAGTTAGCAGAAGAATATTAAACGCAGCTAGGTGGAAATACCTGAAAGACGGACGAATCAGGTTCCGTTTCAATGCCAGCCCGTAGCCTGTTTTCCTGTGCTACGGCGATGAGGAGTGCCACAATATATGGATCATGCAGGCAGTCTTTAGGAGTGATTTTCCTCAACTTGAGCGTAAACAATGCTGAAGAAGATGCACGCCATGGTACTCTGATGGGAGGCCTGAGTAAGTCTTTTCGTAAATCGTCAATGCGTTCGTGGTCAGCATATGCTGCAATGATAGGTGGCAACGCGCCGGGATCATGTTCGGCCTCGAAGAAAACATTGCATTGAAGGGTTTGGACATGGCGCCGGTTGAAGAAGAAGCGCAAATTTTCTCTATCGAGACGGCATTGTCAGCCGCAGCCATGGAGGGCGAGGCAGGGGAGGACGAACCGGTCTCTGAAATGGCCGTCCAAGACAAGAAGACAGCATATACCATTGTCTCGGGACGGCAATTCCCATCTGTATTGCTCAAAGGCGCGGCGCATACAACGGACACCTTGCTTCCCGGGTAAAACTGGGGGCGTTACTGTCGAGGATGCGAAGGATGGGTCGCCGAAGGAGCATCGCAGCAGCTCGAGATGGCGGTCGGTCCAGCGGATGGGAGGAACAAGGAGGCGCTCTCTACAATGACGGCGGGTGAGCTGGAGTATTGACAGAGGCGCCGAGGGATCAAAGCTTGGTGAGGGCGATGTCCGTTCCATGGGTCTGCGTTTGTTGACGCGGCATCGACGCTGTCACGCTGTGCGGTCGAAGGCGAGGATCAAATAAGGACCGTTGACATGACTGGCGCTGCGGTCAGTGACTCATCAGTCGGCCACGAGCGGGGCACCGCAGGCATCAGCCCCATCAGGCTACAGTATTGAGACAACCTGCCCCATGCTCCGGAAAGCAATGCTGGAAATCGACCGCCGCGAGGCGGTTGTGTCGAGACTTGCAGTAGATTCCGTTGAAAGACCATATACTCGAACGGCCGATAGACTTGGCTCAACTCACACAAAAGGAAGTGCGTGACCATTGCATCAGCTACTGTTGGCCCGTCATCGTTGTCCTTTCCATTATTTGGTTAATTAGCCCCCGTCCTGCGCAACCGACACTCCCTGTGCGATGACGACGGCAGTCGTGCAGAGCAAACTAGATAATGAATGACGAGAATGATGAGCAGGACAAAAGAGAAGGGATCGAGTGCGCGCGCACCTTCGTACCACAGGATGTACCTTGATCACTGCCTTTGCGGCGCAGCAATAGCAGTAGCCGGGCATGACGTTTCTGGTCGCCGTGCTAACTATGCGACATTGACCGAAATGCGCGTCGTCGCGGAGCAGGTGCGAAGCCACGACACGGGCTGCCCCGCGCCGACTCTACTGTACACTAACTACGTAGTGCCAGTAGTAGCAGAGAGACCGCCCGCAGACTGCCCGGTTGCCCGGCACCGCGGTCCACCGGCATCCCGCCAGTCTCCGAGACCAGGCTTACGAATAATTAGCCGCGGGTACGTAATATTGCGTCTCCTCTCTCGTCTTTGCTGCATCAGCGTCCGTCCAAGAGCAGACGATGCACGCTGGGGCTAAACAAGGGCCGGCCATCAATGCCCGCTTGGAGCACAGCGCCCTCTCAGGGACCGCGTGGGGGCTGGAACCCGTGAGACTCTCGCCGAGCCGGATTGCCCATGGAGAATCCTACCCGTCAGCATGGTTCCTGGCCTAGAACATACGGACCTGCATCTCATGATGCCATGGGCCGGGTAGTGGCAGACGCCAAGGCAGGGGAAAGGGGGACAGGAGAAGGTGTCGAATCTTGGCCTCCTTGCACGCTGTCGTTGACGATTCCCCCCCCTGACACGAGCAACGGGGCGGCCAAGGACAAGCGCTGAAATACAGCGCAAGAAGCAGACGGCAAGCTATGAGATGAGCGCGAGCAAGTCAAGTAGCCTGTAACATGCGGCAGGCACAAGACGCGCAGCTCCACCCTCTCTCCAAGCTGTAGGCTCTCTAGGAGACCCCATGACGACCTTTTAGGGGGCCGATTCGATCAAACCAGGCCTGAAGCCCCAGCGCGTCCGGCACGACATCACCGTCCATCTTTCGCGCGCCAATTCCTTTCCCCCTCATCCTCCTGCTCTGCCCTCCCCGCCCTCAACGGCCCTGGGACGTGCTCCATGACACGCTACTGCGAGCCTCTTCTTTTTTTCCTTCTTTGTAAATATGTCAACTTCCTTCTTCTCTCACCGCCGCTAATTGGACTCGGGCCAGCCCTCAGCCCCCGCCTCCACCCCTCTTGGCCCCCGGGCCTGTGAAATCCGAAAACAACGAGCGCAACAAGCCGAAAGACTCGACGCATCTCTCGACCTGGCATTGCACCAGCCGTACCCTCGGCTGTCGCGACCCCCAGGCGAGAACGCGAGCGAATCTCTCCGGCAGCGCCCATCTGTTCAAACGACCAGCTTCTCCTCCCCCGCGACCCCGACGATACGCCGCAGACCATGTTGAAGACATCGCCTATCCTCGCCAGCTCTGCCAATGCCTCGCCTACCGGTTTTTGCCGAGGCCACGCCCCCGCCCTGTCCCCTCCGCCGCCCGGGTCGCCGCGCGCCCCGTCTGTGCGCATACCCCGAACCGCCTCGTCGACGGCCTCGTCGTCCGGCGCCCCGACGCCAAGATCGGCCTCCCGACCTTGTCCAAGACCGGCCGACGCCCAAAGGTCGCCCCCAACCCGAGGTCCGCGAGACACGACGACGCCGCCGCCGCCTCCACCTCCGCCTCGGCCTCAACCGTTGCCGACCGCCCCCGCGCCCGCGCCCTCGGAAGCAGCGCCGCGAGCGCTGTCACCCAACAAGAGAAGGGGCTCGCCCAGCCAGGGCACCCGCTACGCCAGAGCGTCTGGATCTGAGATAGCCGACCCGGAGCATGCTTCTCCGGCGCCCGGGGCCGCCTCGTCTAAGAGACCGAGGGCCAACGAGCAGCCTCCCAAGATGCTGCCCCGGCGCTACGAGCAGTGCGCTGTAGAAGACATGGTGGAGCTAATAGCGCACATGCTGGCGGAATTGATTGCCACAAATGACGCCATCCGAATATCGAGTGGCGGGCTCACGCGCTTTCATTCGAGGTAGGCCGCGCTCCCGACGGCCCTGTGCCCCGATGGCTGACCATGGTGCCACGTCAGAACCCCCCCCGGCATCTCGGTGCGCGACTACCTCCATCGATTGGCGAGGCACGCCACGCTGACCCCGCCGCTGCTGCTGGCCATGGTCTACTACATCGACCGCCTGTGCGCGCTCTACCAGGAATTCACCATCAACACGCTGACAGTCCACCGGTTCCTCATCACGGCGGCCACGGTGGCGGCCAAGGGCCTGTCCGACTCGTTTTGGAATAACACAACGTATGCCCGGGTGGGCGGCGTGCGGGTGGCAGAGCTGAAGTTGCTGGAGCTCGAGTTTCTCTACCGGGTAGACTGGAAGATTGTGCCCAATCCTGAGGTTCTCGTGGCCTATTATAGGGGGTTAGTGGAGCGAACGCCCGGGTACGCGCTTGACACGGACGGGCTCTCCGAGGATGACATGGACGACGACGACGAGAAGCCAGTGGGATTGTCAGATGGTTAGCTTCATCGCGCGCGTGGACCCTTGGAAGAGGGCGCTGTCTGCGGGACTGAGGATGGTGATGAGCTTGATGCGCTGCATTGGTATTGACGCTGCATTTGGAGTCACGAGGCATGCGCTTGGCACCGGAATCCGGCTTCGCTTGGAGGGGTGGGGTGAAAGCACACACCGGTGTCAAAGGCACAATGTCTTTTTATCTTGTCTTCTCTCTGGGTCTCTTGTTCGACATTTTGGGATGCATATATGGGAGGGAGGCAGGGCGACTAGAGCACAAGACAGGAGGATTTCTCTGCCGTACCATAAGTTACGGCCTGCGCGATTCAGCAGGGAGCATATTTGTCCGGAGCCGAGACAAAAGCATGTCTCTCGTACTTGGAGAAGGGAGGAACAAAATCTCCGTTGAATGGATGCGTTTGTAGCCCGGACTTTGGTGGATGGATTTACAGTGTGTACTGTAATGCGACCTCGGCACGTGCGGCCCGTGTGCTGCGGCGGCGCTTGTAGTGACTGGATGCGACACATGAATTTGCTGCTAACCTCAGCGTTCCATCCCACCGCGCCTTTCCTTCTCCACCACCCCGAGACTACGTCGATTCTTGGCGGTCACGCGCGAGAGACAAACAAGATGCTGCTCGCGCCTCTGCTGTCTGCGCTCTGCGCCGCGGCTCTCGTCGGCGCCCAAGCACAAACGGCCCAAGTCTACATCCAACCCATCGACAGCTCGTCCGCGACGCCATCACCACCACCGCCCAGCCAGTTAGCCGAGGTGACGTACGACATGGCAGCCCTCTCCCTGTCGTCAATCGTCTCCTTCGAAGCCCCCGAAATGCCCGAGACGGCGCGGCTCGTGCGCATCGGTCTGTACGACGCGGCCTCGAAGCGCTGGGCGGCGGGCACCACGGTGGCGGCGGCCGACAACTTCAGCAAGGGCTACTCGCCGCACGTGCTGCTGGCTGTCGACGCCGATGGCCGCGTCGTCAGCGCGTCGTGCAAGGGCGTGGGCATCGATGCCGGACACACGAGGGACTTTGGGCCCAAGGTGGTGGTGCTGCCCGAGGCAAGGGGTAAGCAGCCCATGCTCAACAAGCCCGTCGTCCTGTCGCCCGAGGGCAAGAAGGTCGAGCCCGAGCCGGAAAAGTCGTTTTTGCAAAAGTAGGTTGTCCTTTGTCTCGCCTGCTTGGGCGAATGCCGAGATGCTAACCTCCTTTTCCTTGCAGATACTGGTGGATGATTGCCATTGCCGTCTTTATAGCACTGAGCGGAGGGGGGGGTGAAAAATAGAGGGTGGTAGGTCGCAAAAGACACATGTTTTTCTTATGCGTCTGTATCATACCGGAGGAATAGTCCTCGAGTCTGCCGATATGTGATGCGTTGATCATGTTTCCGTCTCTGCCGAGTCTTGCCCAAATCACTCAGTGCCTACTGTCCTTGCACGTGCATGGTTCCCTGTTGTTACTAGTTACCCGATTCACGACTCTGTTGCATCGTATCATAGCTCCGTACCAGTGCTGTTTGCATCCTTCCAGTCTTCTTTATTGGCATAGCTACTAAGTTACTACTCCTTATCCTGCACCTACGCCGTATTCGCCCTCAAGTGGCTGGTGAATTAGGTAATCGCGTCCGGTTGGCGCTCTCCCGCTAGTCCAGATCGGGCCTGGAGCGGCAGTTACGTCCCGCGAGCGCTGGGCAACCAGCAGCGCAATGCTTTTCTTGGCCTCTCATCCACTCTCTCTCTCTTTCTGCCTGCCCTCACTGACCCATTCTCATACCGCAAACCATTCACCAGAGGATCAATTGAAAACACAACCAAACAACAACTTGGCTCATACCAATCTCTCATCCACTAGCCTCGAGCTTGCTGCGCCGACTCTGATCTCTGCTCCCCGCTCTCATCTACTCGCACCTCTGTCAAGCAGCCATGGCGGAAAACGGCAGCACTCTCCCTGCCAGCACCAAGTCTCCCACGGCCGAGGAGCACGTCGTTGATGCAAAAGGCAAGGGAAAGGCCGTCGAGGAAGAGGCTCCCAAGAGTGAGCCCGTGGTAGACGACGACGACGACGACGAAGACGATGAGGAAGACGCCAACGAGGGCGATGAAGGTGACTGCACCCCGTCCACCCTTGCTCCCGTGAGTATGGTTGTGTTGCTAACCATGCACGCAAGACGCCGAGGAGGATGGCATGGAGGAGATTGATCTCAACAACATTCTCGAAGGCGGTCGTCGCACTCGCGGCACCAAGATCGACTTTGCCAAGGCAGCCGAGCAGCATCCCGCCGAGGACGAGGACGAAGAGGATGACGAGGACTTTGAGCCGACGGCCGATGACACTGAAATGACGGGTTAAGGTATCGTCCGGCGGCTCTCCTTTGTCTCCTCATACCTGCCGACGAGGGGCTTGGGGCTGTTGTGAGCCGTGGTCACGCGTTGAGGCGGGCTGCTCGGGCTTTGAAATAGACCCCAGCATTGGATCTGTACACAGCGCACGCGGATTGGCCGAACTCGTTGGCTCCTTGACCCTGGTACATGTTTACTCGGCGCCATGCTTTGAACTTGGCGGCGCAGCTCACAATGGATACGTTGAGGCATGAGGAATACGAACGTGAATATGAATGAGGTTCTTTCGCAGAGCTCGGTGGTAGGCCTAGCTGTCGTGGTGCTTGAGGGTGGCTTCCATTCATAAGAATCAACAAATACATCCCTGTTCGACTCTTCTCTCAAGCGAAGCAGAGATGACGGAGTTTGGCCTGATGATTGAGGGCAAAGCCAAAAAAGACAAAGGTACGTACCTCGGCGGAGAGATTAGGTACTTTTGACTGGAGGTGGAAAAAGAACGTATTTCGGGCCCCTTGTGTGTGCATCAGACAGACCACGTTTAATCCGCCAACCAGCTACCTACTACTATCCATGCAAATGTCGACAACAGGGAAGACCGAACGAAGCATAACCAACAAATAAAAGCAAAAGGGGGCGGAGGAGTCTTGCCACCAGCCATCGACCCCAGTCTCCTTCTCCTTTGCTCCAGTCTCGGAACGCCCGCGCGTGTTTGCTTCCTTCTCTGCTTCGGGCTCTGGGGGCCAACATCATCACCATACCATGTCGCAAAGGTGAGTGCCCGATGCTTCCTGCCTACCCTCCCCAAAGCGAGTCCGTCGAAAAACCAAAGGACGCCGCAGAGCCGAAACGACACGGGGAGCAAGGCGACGCAGCTGACGACGGCGGCAACGCGCAGATTCGGCGCCTCGTCGCTGCACCAGCGCGACTCGCGCAGCGCCCTGTTTGCGGGCTACACGGGCGACCCGACGACGACGCGGCGCACGACGACGGCCAGCCCCGCCGCCGGCGGCTACGGATACCCGAGCAGCGGCGGCTACCCGTCGCAGCAGCAGCAGCAGCAGCACATGGGCCACGAGAGACCGGGCTTCCGGCCGGCGACGCCCAACCGCAAGGGCCAGTACAGCGACGCGGTGCTCAACGAGCTCGAGAGCCAGAACGATGCCCAGGTCGAGGGGATTCTGGGCAAGGTCAAGACGCTCAAGAACGTGAGTCTTGCCATTTACTACTGCCCTTTGCCCCCCCCCTTTGGGCAGGGCACCCACCCACATGTACACGTCGAGTTCGTGGGGGAATGAAGGCAAGGGGGGGACAAGCCGATGGACCAAAAAAATGCGTGGGATGGAACTGACGCCTACGGACGTTTGCGCAGATGACGATTGCCATTGGCGACGAGATCCGCGACTCGTCGGCCCTGGCGGAAAAGATGAACAACAGCTTCGATTCGACGCGCCTGCGCCTGCGCGGCACCATGAACCGCATGCTCATCATGGCCCAGCGCACCGGCGTCGGCTGGAGGGTCTGGCTGGCGTTTTTCGCCGCCGTCGCCCTGCTCTTTGTTTATGTCTGGCTCTTCTGATGCGGCTCTTTCTCTCTCTTCCTCGTGGAACGGACGTCCGGACGACCAAATCACGTTTGATAATTTGAGAGGCGCAATAAACGGGGAAGGAGGATCGGTTATACGGGGGGAAGGGGGATCGTCGGAGCCTCGTTGCGGGAGCAGCGGCTGTTGACGTGTCTTGTTCCTATGCATTTTGGCGGGCGTCTGGTTTGCGGCTGTTTCTTGGATGTCGTTTTCTACGGACAGGTCGGAAAAGAGCATTGTTCCTCACGGGCATGGGTCTCGGGAGGACACGCGCACCCCGTACGATCAATGCCACAGTATGTTATCCATGCAACGGTGACAATGGGCACTCTCCATGATTCCTTTTCTCCCTCTCGCCCACCCCCCTCCTTCTTTCCCCTGCACCAAGATGACTGTGCTTCCGAGTTGACGGGCGTCACCCGTATCGAGCCTGCCGGCTCTGCGCGGGGCTGCTCTCGGCAAAGCTGCTCTCGTCGACGTCGTGGGAAACAAGGTTGCTCAGGTCCATGCTGCTGCGCGGGCCCGATGCGCTCGTCCGGCCGACCATGGTGGTGGGCGACTGCGGAGGGCCGAGGGGAGCGATGCGCGGGGCGAAGCCAACTTCGTGGCCTGCGAGGTCGTCTGCGTCGTCGTGGCCGTCGTCGTCGTCGCTGCTGCTGTCGTAGGCGCCACGTTCCACCTCCTGGTTGCCACCACCATCACCACCACCACCACCACCACCACCATCGTCGTCGTCGTGACTGCTGCTGCTGAGCTCGGCCTCGGAGTCGGTGTGCTCGTAGCCGCCGCCGCTCCCGGCTTCGGGAATGTCGTCGTCGAGGTTGGCGTCCATGTCGAGCCCCGTGGCGTCATCGTCGTCGCCGTCGAGGCTGTGGGCAAAGTCGTCCTCGTCGAGCATCTGGCCCTGGCTCTCCTGCTCAAGCTCCTCCTCGCCACCGTACATGGCGTCGCCGTCTGGGTCGCCGCGGACGAGGGCCTCGCGGAATGCATCGTCCGTCATGCGCATGCGGGCTGCCATGAGGTCGTTTTGACGCTCCTCTCGCAGCGCCGCGTCGTCGACCTCGGTCCCGTCGGCCGCTGCTTCCCCATCCTCTTGCTCATTTTCCTCGTCATCGTCGTCATCGTCGTCGTCGTCGTCGTCGTCATCGTCATCCATTCCAAAGGGGTCATCGGCATCGGGTATCTCATCGTCCAGGTCCTGCGCGCCGTCCAGCTGGACATCATCCATCAGGCCGTCGTCGGGCATCCCACCGGCCTCGGCCTCGGCGAGCTCCTGGGCCAGCTGCTCGCGACGAAGGGCCTCCTGGTGCTCCTCCTGCTCGCGCTTCTCCTCGCGCATCTGGTGCAGCGTCTTGGGCACGCCGGGGGGCTTGAGCCAGGCGCTGCCAAAGTTCTGCACGTTGACGCGCCGCCGGTTCAGGTGCTGCTCGTCGGCGGCGAGGCGGGCCAGCGCCGTGCGCTCCACGACCTGGCCGCGGGAGCGCGAGGGATGGGAGGCATGGGCGGTGGTGGTGTTTGGGCCGCCGCCGCCGTCGGCGTGGTGCGCGTCGCGAGACGCGGCCGAGGGGAAGGGCGTTCTCGAGGACGTGTACCACAGAGAATGCGACTGCGACCGTCATCAGCGTTGGGCCCCAGACGTGGGCAAGGCCTTGGGGAGGTGGTACATCTCGCGGCGTAAAGTCTGGCAGTATCGTGAACATGGGGAGCTGCTCAGCTTGAGGGAGAGCTGGTTGCCTGCAGGGATTGCGGGTCGGTGTTTAAAAAATGAATGGACCGAGGAACGAGTCGTTGCTCTACTACGTAGTTACGGGGTAGCGTGTGTAATATTTCAAATTCGCCCAAGCGGGCCGGCCGATCGCGGCCAGTCACGTACGATGCCGAGACGTTTTGCCGACCCCACTACGACTGCCAAGTGGGTACATGGTACATACCTAGGTATATCCTACAGTTCCTCGCTGTTGTACGGATACCTGTAGAGAAATATATACCACAATACCAACCAGTCATCTCTAACGGAGGTGCCTCCAATTTTGTTAGAGGATAATATGACTGGTTTAACAATACCAGTCACCAAGAGTGGAGGCCACCTCCGAATGGGTGACTGGTACAAATGGCCTAAGCAGGCACCATCTCTCAATACTCGCCGCTATTACTTGATGTACCGTACACTTCTTCGTCTCCCTCTCCCTCCCATTTCCAGCCCGACCGATATTAGCAAAAAGTACCTCATCGCGCCAGGCCGCGCTCCAAAAGTGCTGGAGAAACTAATTAAGGCCCTGACTGCCCAGCACACAGCTCTGACTATCCAGCATACAAATAATGGGGGGACTGTGGCAAGTGCACCTAAAACGGAAAGGCCTATTAAGTTAGGCCCCCTTTCCGCTCCCTGTGCCCGATTTTTAGTCTCCCTGTGCACCTTACCGTACTTGGCAAGACTCCACACGTAGACGCGTAACACACATAATACACACAATTGGCGTCGCGGCAAGCAGTGCCTCCTGGTACAACACCGCAAGCCAAAATAACTCGTGATAACCACCCACCTCGCAATACCACATCGCGTCTGCGTAGCTAAGTTTCAGAGGCACACAACCGCCACAAAGCAGCTAATCAACCCGTTCTTTCTCCAAGATGCTTCTCCAGCCCCCGCCAAACAATATGCCACTCTTTGAGACCTTTGACGATGCGTTTGACGAGCTCCAGCGGCATGCGCGCTGCCAAGGCTACGCCATAGTTAAGTTCAAGCCAAGCAACTACGAACATGGGCTCCCACGCCGTTACGACATCGTATGCGCATGCGGCGGCCGTGAATACAAGTCAGCCTCGTTAGGACTCCGGAAGACTGGCACCAGGCGGACTTCCTGCCCGTTTAGAGTCAAGGTTGTGCGCCTGAAGCTAGAGGGAGACCTCTGGCGGATCTCTGTGATGTGCCCAAGGCACAACCATGAGGCCAATAGGGCCGGCGCCTTCCCAGAATACCGGCGCCTTCATCCACATCAACTCCAGCAGGTTAAAGACTTATCTCGCGATGCTGGCTTAACGGCGCGGCAGATCCTTCTTGCTCTTCGGGCTAAGAGCCCGCGGCTACTTGCAACAGAGCAAGACATCGCGAATATCTGTGCCCGGCTTCGTCTCCGGGAGCTTGGGGCACATACATCCACACAAGCGCTTATTGCCAGGCTCGACGAGGAAGGTGCCTTCCATAAAGAGCTACTTGACGATGAGGATCGCTTCTTCTACCAGATTGTGGGCCTTGACCCTGCCTTGCGGCTTTGGGCACAACATTCACACCTTATGATGGCCGACGTAACGAACAACACGAATAGATATGGCCTCAAGCTGCTAGAGATCAATGGAATCACTGCCTTGGGCTCTATCTTCCTGTGGCTTTCTGTTTAGTCCCTTCCGAAGACACAAACGCATTTACCTGGTGTTTTATACAGCTTCGCGAGTGGTTACAGTCAAAGGCAAGGCTAAGAGGCGAGGCTGACGGCAATGCCTTTATCCCACACGTTATCATCACTGACTATGACGCTGCTGCGCGCGCTGCATTGACGGCTACCTTCCCGGACTCACAGCTACAGGTCTGTACGTGGCATATCATGAAGAACATCACTACAAACGCGAAGAAGCGCTGGCTTGGCGACTATGACGATGACGACCCATTTGACCCGCCGCAAGAGCCCCAAGACGATGAAGACCCCGGGCGCTCTGCAGCTACCGGAGCCACTGCCGGAAAGAGGCCCTGTGCCTTCACAACAGCCTTCCGGTCCGTAGTGTATGCCCCGACCGAGGACGAGTTCAACAGCCGCTGGGGCATCGTCAAGGCGCCTTCTCAGACCAGCACATTATTCTTAGGTATGTGGAAGAGGTCTGGATGCCTGTACGAACGCAATGGGCGCGCGCTTGGGTCTGCCGTTACCGCAACTGGGGCCACACAACGACCTCGCCTTGTGAATCCCTTCACTCAAGCTCTCGCACCTTCCTTCGCAACGGCCAGTCGAACCTGCTTGAATTATATCATGCCTTGCAACTACAAGCCTCAACCTCACGAGAACACCATGATCGGACCGTTGAGCGCGAATCACGACGGACTCGCGACCTGTTCCGGCTACCATTATATGAGGAAGCCGTCGAGAAGGCGTCATATCCGTCTCTCGAGCTTGTACAGAAACAGGCACTAGCCGCCTCGGCCGGCCTCCTCAAACCACAAGAGCGGCCACTTGGGAATGTGGGAATAGCTTCACTGCCCAATACGGGCTGCCCTGCAAGCATATTATCGCCTCGTACCTCCAGGTCCAAGGGAGGGACTAGCCGCAAAGTTATAGCTACAAGACCCTTGCCCTTGAACTTGTGGGACAACCACTGGCTTCTACGGCAGGATCTTGCTGTCACAGACCCATACAGACGAATTCGCGATCCTCGAGTCATTGCCCGGCGCCGCAGACCAGCCAGAGCCATAGCCTTCGCACCTGTGGCCACGACTGCAGCCGTTGCAACAGCCGCTGTAACTGCACCTGTGGCCTCGTCAGCAGCGGCAGCAGCAGCTACCTCACCAGCTTCGCAACAGTCACAGCCTCGCGGGCAACAGCAACAGCGGCAGCCAGTCTTGCAGACAGTGCTTGCGCGGCTTGAGGCTATTGGCAACTACCTTGGCATTGGGCCGGCTATAGCTTCGTGGTCGGTGTCAACACCACAAGCAGCGTCAACACCACAAGCCGACATCGTGATCCGTCAAACGCCTACACAGCCGACCTCATACCAGCAACCGCAGACTTTCCGGCGCTCAGAGTCTGCCACCCAACTTATGCGGCGGCTACCCTCGGCCTTCGAATATCACGAGCCGCCGCGGCCGCCGCGTCAAGGAGGGTCTCAACGGGGCATCGCGAGCGCCCTCGTCTCTTTACCCTTGGGTCCTCGACCCTCTTTCTAGCACCCTTACATCAGTGGAAGGAGGATTTATGCCGCTCCCGGCTTCGCAGATAAGTAACGCTACAGTTAGAGGAAAGGGGGAACGCTCACCACGGCGGAAAAGAGGCCACGCAATGCGGCAGCCGTATGAGCTTGTAATGCGGCTAGAAGATATGGAGGAAATGTGCGAATAGCTTCAAATTCATAATGTTCAACGCAAAGACTCTACAATCCGTGACCACCTTCTACAGTAATTGGTGTGTTGCACACACAAATGCAAGTCTTGGCCGATTCGCGATGCTTCTACCTAATACGGTAAGGTGCACAGGGAGACTAAAAATCGGGCACAGGGAGCGGAAAGGGGGCCATTAAGTTACAAAGTAGCTTATATTATACTCAGAAAGGTGAGTTTAGTGATGCATGGGCCCCCTTTCCGCTCCCTGTGCCCGATTTTTAGTCTCCCTGTGCACCTTACCGTACTTGGCAAGACTCCACACGTAGACGCGTAACACACCATAATACACACAATTGGCGTCGCGGCAAGCAGCCTCCTGGTACAACACCACAAGCCAAAATAACTCGTGATAACCACCCACCTCGCAATACCACATCGCGTCTGCGCAGCTAAGTTTCCAGAGGCACACAACCGCCACAAAGCAGCTAATCAAACCGTTCTTTTGTCAAGATGCTTCTCCAGCCCCGCCAAACAATATGCCACTCTTTGAGACCTTTGACGATGCGTTTGACGAGCTCCAGCGGCATGCGCGCTGCCAAGGCTACGCCATAGTTAAGTTCAAGCCAAGCAACTACGAACATGGGCTCCCACGCCGTTACGACATCGTATGCGCATGCGGCGGCCGTGAATACAAGTCAGCCTCGTTAGGACTCCGGAAGACTGGCACTAGGCGGACTTCCTGCCCGTTTAGAGTCAAGGTTGTGCGCCTGAAGCTAGAGGAGGCCTCTGGCGAGTCTCTGTGATGTGCCCAAGGCACAACCATGAGGCCAATAGGGCCGGCGCCTTCCCAGAATACCGGCGCCTTCATCCACATCAACTCCAGCAGGTTAAAGATTTATCTCGCGATGCTGGCTTAACGGCGCGGCAGATCCTTCTTGCTCTTCGGGCTAAGAACCCGCGGCTACTTGCAACAGAGCAGGACATCGCGAATATCTGTGCCCGGCTTCGTCTCCGGGAGCTTGGGGCACATACATCCACACAAGCGCTTATTGCCAGGCTCGACGAGGAAGGTGCCTTCCATAAAGAGCTACTTGACGATGAGGATCGCTTCTTCTACCAGATTGTGGGCCTTGACCCTGCCTTGCGGCTTTGGGCACAACATTCACACCTCATGATGGCCGACGTAACGAACAACACGAATAGATATGGCCTCAAGCTGCTAGAGATCAATGGAATCACTGCCTTGGGCTCTATCTTCCCTGTGGCTTTCTGTTTAATCCCTTCCGAAGACACGAACGCATTTACCTGGTGTTTTATACAGCTTCGCGAGTGGTTACAGTCAAAGGCAAGGCTAAGAGGCGAGGCTGACGGCAATGCCTTTATCCCACACGTTATCATCACGGACTATGACGCCGCGGCGCGCGCTGCATTGTCGGCTACCTTCCCGGACTCGCAGCTACAGGTCTGTACGTGGCATATCATGAAGAACATCACTACAAACGCGAAGAAGCGCTGGCTTGGCGACTATGACGATGATGACCCATTTGACCCGCCGCAAGAGCCCCAAGACGATGAAGACCCCGGGCGCTCTGCAGCTACCGGAGCCACTGCCGGAAAAAGAGGCCCTGTGCCTTCACAACAGCCTTCCGGTCCGTAGTGTATGCCCCGACCGAGGACGAGTTCAACAGCCGCTGGGGCATCGTCAAAGGCGCCTTCTCAGACCAGCACATTATTCTTAGGTATGTAGAAGAGATCTGGATGCCTGTACGAACACAATGGGCGCGCGCTTGGGTCTGCCGTTACCGCAACTGGGGCCACACAACGACCTCGCCTTGTGAATCCCTTCACTCAAGCTCTCGCACCTTCCTTCGCAACGGCCAGTCGAACCTGCTTGAATTATATCATGCCTTGCAACTACAAGCCTCAACCTCACGAGAACACCATGATCGGACCGTTGAGCGCGAATCACGACGGACTCGCGACCCGTTCCGGCTACCATTATATGAGGATGCCGTCGAGAAGGCGTCATATCGGTCTCTCGAGCTTGTACAGAAACAGGCACTAGCCGCCTCGGCCGGCCTCCTCAAACCACAAGAGCGGCCACTTGGGAATGTGGGAATAGCTTCACTGCCCAATACGGGCTGCCCTGCAAGCATATTATCGCCTCGTACCTCCAGGTCCAAGGGAGGACTAGCCGCAAAGTTATAGCTACAAGACCCTTGCCCTTGAACTTGTGGGACAGCCACTGGCTTCTACGGCAGGATCTTGCCGTCACAGACCCATACAGACGAATTCGCGATCCTCGAGTCATTGCCCGGCGCCGCAGACCAGCCAGAGCCATAGCCTTTGCACCTGTGGCCACGACTGCAGCCGTTGCAACAGCCGCTGTAACTGCACCTGTGGCCTCGTCAGCAGCGGCAGCAGCAGCTACCCCACCAGCTTCGCAACAGTCACAGCCTCGCGGGCAACAGCAACAGCGGCAGCCAGTCTTGCAGACAGTGCTTTCGCGGCTTGAGGCTATTGGCAACTATCTTGGCATTGGGCCGGCTATAGCTTCGTGGTCGGTGTCAACACCACAAGCCGACATCGTGATCCGTCAAACGCCTACACAACCGACCTCATACCAGCAGCCGCAGACTTTCCGGCGCTCAGAGTCTGCCACCCAACATGCGGCGGCTACCCTCCGCCTTCGAATATCACGAGCCGCCGCGGCCGCCGCGTCAAGGAGGTTCTCAACGGGGCATCGCGAGCGCCCTCGTCTCTTTACCCTTGGGTCCTCGACCCTCTTTCTAGCACCCTTACATCAGTGGAAGGAGGATTCATGCCGCTCCCGGCTTCGCAGATAAGTAACGCTACAGTTAGAGGAAAGGGGAACGCTCGCCACGGCGGAAAAGAGGCCACGCAATGCGGCAGCCGTATGAGCTTGTAATGCGGCTAGAAGATATGGAGGAAATGTGCGAATAGCTTCAAGTTCATAATGTTCAACGCAAGACTCTACAATCCGTGACTACCTTCTAATTGGTGTGTTGCACACACAAATGCATGTCTTGGCCGATTCGCGATGCTTCTACCTAATACGGTAAGGTGCACAGGGAGACTAAAAATCGGGCACAGGGAGCGGAAAGGGGGCCTGATGCATGTCTTGGTCTATCTATCGGGACGAGGTCGGGACTTTATATAGGTCTAGACCACAAACAACTAAGGTACGTACGTAGCCAAAAGAGGGTACGTATTGAGATGCTCCTTAGTTATACACGAGTCACGCCTGCCGCACGTCCTTCTGCCAGGAGCGTCAGATTGGTCCGGGAGACCTTGGCCGGCTCGCATGACTCTGACCTCTCGGCCCCGCTCCCCTCGGCTGCTTAAGTAATTAATTATTACCCTCAATCTTATGCGTCACCGGCTCATGTGTAGTGCGGGCTCAACAGTCAACACCATAAGGTGCGCCCACGCACCTCTCTTTCAGGAAGGACAGCCGCAATCCACACACTCTCTCTCAATGCAAGATTCCAACAACTAGTAATACTCTTGCTCTCCGAGGACTCGGGCTCCATCATTTGCTGCCTCCCCACTCGTCGTCGAGGGAGTCCGGTCCTGAGTTGAGGCCAAGCTGGAGATGCGCATGACCGGACGTTTTCGAAGCGAACGCGCTATGATCTATCTATGGACCCGGATGCATTGTCAATCATCCGCTTGAAACGAACATGCGTGCAAGTGGAGACGGCGTTCTTGGATCCACGACTTCTTCTCCTCGAGACGAACCGTTTGTGTGTCGACCTCGCCTCTGAAACCTCCAACCTCCTCCACTCGGAGTCCACCCACCGGCCCCTAATCCCCTATTCATCTCATCTCCCAACGGTTGCCGCTTTTCAGCTTCTGCGTGTCAGGTCAGGTGTCCTCGTCATTGGAAAATGTTGCTCCATCTAATCTCGGTGTAGAAAAAAATTAAAGACTGTTCGGAAATCCCGTCTTCAACACGTCGATGACGCCGCATAGTCAGTTGCTGGAGCGCTGACTCGCTGATCAAAGCTGCTCACGAGCCGTCTCTTCGACTACGTGTTGGCCGGTCTAATAGTTCAGCCGAAAGAATAGGTGCGCGATAGTGAGTCGTCCAAAGATACCACGCACAACGTACTTTGCGTATCGAGGCTGATCCCGGGCGGCAGTCTCTTTCTACTTCCCCCTGTTGCTGATTGATAGGACAAGCATCTTCCAAATCCACAAATTCAGCTTCTCTGCCAGGTTCTTTAGTTAGGACGTCGCGTAGTCCTATAGGTCTTAAAACCGGACCTGCTATTCCTTAACTAAAAGTTATATCACTAGTTATTAGGTCTTTGCATTAAAGAAAGAGGGTATAGATTGCGCTATCCTGCCTAAAAGTGGGAGTCCGCGGGCGTGACTATATATATATATATATAAAGTATAGGGGGGAATAGGTTTCCCTACTAATCCGGCAGCTTACGGTTACCCGGATCTATTAAGTAACTTCCTTAGTATCCCTTAGGTTAACTACTATATTCGGTGCCTCCGGATACAGCAATAGTATCGTCTCCGCTTCTAAGGAAAAGGGGCGTGCCTATTAGTACGTGTGGGCGTGAGCCCCAACCTTCAATAGCTATACATTGGTCTGTGGCCCACTGGAACCCTTGTTGGGTCGTGACAAGTTGCAAGTCAGACCCCAACTGAGCAACGAATCACGATTTCGCACGGTTATGCGGCGTGGAGCCCGATCGAAGACCATCTACAACCCGGCAACGTCCTGCCATCTCAACTCTTCCCGCCGGAGAACAAATGCCCCAGTCCCGCTCCATGGAGCCCGCAACCAAGCAGCCGCTCGGATCCCATGACACGGATGCAGCCCACTGCGACATTTGTTCTTCCAAGGCAGCATGACAGCCTTAGGTATGAGGAGGAGCCCAGAATCCATACGGGTTCGTTGTATCCGCCCACAATGGGTTCCCAAGCCTGCTAGGCCCGCTGCCACCGGCTTGCTCCTAAAGCCTGGCGACTCTAGATGAAGTGGAGAGCATCCAGAAGCTGCTGCATTGCATGGCCAAATTTCCATGCAATAATCAAAATCATCCCATGAGAAGCCGAACGTTGCGCCGAGCCCTCGCCTGCACGCGCGGGACTAGATGGACAGCAGCAACACCACGGGGGGATATATAAGGCGGCTTGCCTCCCCTTTCCCTAAAGGTATCCTACTGTATCAACAACGACCTGGGTGCTAAATTCCATTCCTTCTTTGCTTCTTTCTGGTTTCATCTTCGAATCAACAAGCTCCTTTCTTTTATCCATCTTAACCACTCGATCCCTACTCAACCACTTTCTTTTCACCTCGCAAACATGCATTTCACCACTCTCCTTAGCTTGGCTCTACCAATCATTGCGGCCTTCCCGCTGGACGAGGCAGCCTCTAGTCACATAGACAAGAGGCAGGAGAAGCCCACCAAGGACAAAAGCGCCTGGACGCAGTGGGACGAGGATGCTGCCGCCATGAGCGGTGATAAATGGGCCTCTCCGAAAGGCCACAAGGATGGATCCGCGTGGGCCAAGGAAGGGTGGCCAGAGTCCGCCAAGAGCAACAGAGATTGGACCCTCTGGGACGAGGATGAAGACGCCAGGACCGGCCGCAAATGGAACAAGGGGGCCAACAAGGGGGCCAACAAGGGTGGCCCCAAGACCCCTCCGCCACAGAGCTCTCCGCCTCAAGTGCCCCCGCCCCAGAGCGTCGAGATTGGGAACCGGTTCCTCGGAGACGATGGGAATGATCATGATGGTCAAAACGTGGACGATGCCGCTTCCCCCCCGCCTGATAATACCGTCGACGGGCCGTTTGACGAGTCGGTTGAACCTCCCAGAAGTTTCAACGACGACTTGATCCCCCAAGCCTCCGAGACCCCTCTGGCCCCGAAGTCGCCCCAGTCGTCGGGAACCCCTGGGGAGACCGGATCTTCAGGCCCCGGACCCCCAGCGGAAGTCAAAGCCGCCCTGGCCAAGACCAACGAGCTGCGAGCCAAGCACGGCTCTGCTGAGATATATTGGGATGAGAAACTGGCGAGTAACGCTTTGCGCTGGGCCCAAGAATGCGCGTCGGGAGAACAGATGAAACACAGTCTCCTTCCGAATGAAACCGAGAACCTCTGGTCCGGCTCCGGCATTGAGGGTGATCTCTTCCTTGATGCTATAGAATCCTGGTACTCAGAAGAGCCAATCTATAACACAGCGACCGGGTATAAAGAGCCCACTAAGGAGCAGATTGAAACGGCCTTCCCGAAAAACATGGCGTCTATTCCTTTCGAACAGCTGAAGCAGGTTATATGGGGACACTTTACGCAGCTGGTCTGGAACGGAAGCACTCAGATGGGCTGCGCCAGCGCCGATGGCACCAGGATCAACCCAAAGACCCAAAAAATCACAACTTTCATTGTGTGCAGGTTCAGTCCTCCCGGTAAGTCTTGGGACTCCACGTCGACGGGCGGACATGATGCCAACACCAGGAGCAGGCAACGAGAAGAAAAGTTACGCGGAAAACGTCAAGGCCCCCGCCTCCTAGGCAAGCCCAACAAGGCCTTCTGCTGCCCGCTGAACACGTCGACACTTTGGAAAGGCTATGGCCGCACGACGAGCAGTGCCTACGGGGTCGACCCCCGCGCCCGACTGCCGCCGTGTGCGCACATGGCATTCTTCTCTTTAGACTCTTGTATTATTACCACCTTTTTCCGCCTCCAGTTCCTCCCTGTGCCTCCCCACAAGACGTCAAGATTTGTGACCGTGTCATGAGAAGCCAGCGCTCCTAATAGTGCAGACCACTCCGTCTCAATTTGATTCCGTCAGGTTAAAAGGAAATATGTCTATGTCGAAATCCTCTTAATCGTGGCAGGAAAGCGGTCTATATCAGCTCAGGGGACTAAAGAAATGTGAAGATAATCATCGCCGTCAAATGGGGACCCTCAAAGACTTATTCAATGGGCTCACTAATTCTTTTCCGAACAATGGCCGGTCCTCGAATCCACAAGATAAGGATCCTTAAGCATTATAATGGGGAGACCGATGCTTCCGCTGCGTGGCATTGGACGCCCGCCGACGCAGATCGACGACACGATGATGACATGTGACGGCGGCGAGGTTGATGGGCTGTGCCGCGCCGGGCCATCGAGGAGCACCGAAGGCTTTAAGAGCTAAGGTAAATGTTGATGTTAGCCGCAGCGGCGTCTATGATGGTCTCTTAGGAGCATAGTCACTGCACTTACTGGACGCCCATTTATGTCTGTGTTTGAGCAGAAATGGTGGGATTGGCATATAAGGAGCCATTATTGGCAGCCATGCCTTTTGCATGCACGCGGAGGTCGGCGGTTTCGTAGACTACGACGAGGCCTGATTAGAAGTCTCTTCCTGCTACGAGATCTCAAAGTATATAGTTTAACGGGTAAGACCGTAAGACTGTCCCCCTCGTCCCTACTAGGGCCACCTACAGATGTACTTAAAGACCCAGAGGCACTTAGATCATCTGATCGGGGGTGTCTCACTCTTTTATCATTAATTTAGACGTTTGCTTCCCCCTTAAGCGTGTGTTGCCAACAGAGACACTCCTATCTTGACAATCATGAAGTGAAATACCGAAGCAACTATCAGAGCGATAAGAGGCCCATAGAGTCACTTGCTTCCTTGATTATTAGATGATCCAGAGGTCTAAGAGGAGTCTAATTTAGTGGCCTCTGCATCGACAGGGGCGCCATGGCTGGCAGCAATCTTAGCCTGCGTCGAGGCTTTCGAGAGCCTAGGGACGTTGAGAGTCTAGTAGAAGCGAGCGCGAGCCGAGGCCATGTGGCCGAAGGCTGCGGGAAAAGGATAAGACGCAATGTCAATATTAAGGCAGTGCAGCCGTGGCAGTGACACGCTGCTGTCGATAAGATAGATTACTTGGCTCTGAACTTCTCGTGACCTAGGTTGCACGGAACTCTGCCATTTATAGGCCATGTGAGCCCTAAGATCAGAGATACGGTGTGGATGAGACCGAGTGACCATATAAAGATTGATGCCTGTCGACGTTTGGCCGCGTTTTGGCTCTACTACGCGAAAGTCATTGTAGCTGGACTATCGCTCTTGCTGCGGGGGCCTAGTCGTTAGTTAAGAGCTGCGCGGTGTCGTCGAACCTATGAGCTCCTGCGGAGCGATCTATAGTATATACTGTATATCTTATTTTATTACGGATAGCTTATATAAAGTATAGTAGAGCGGTATCGCTGATTCTCTTGACTCTTCCTAGTAGCAAATCTGGCTACCTCGACCATCCTACGCCTGCTCTTGGCTTTCTTATTCACCGCTTATAAGGACTCGCCTAACCGAATAAAAAACGCTATCGCAAATCATCCCGACATGGGCGGCCAATAGACCAAGGGCGACTGAGCAGAGGAAGAAACGACTCCGCTCTGTAGAGGTGCGAGAGAAGAAGTATATTGATACTGACAATGTCTATGAGAAAGGCGACCTCCGACATAGCAGGAGCGGGATCCCTAAGAGCTGTCGCTGGACACTGTAGCTGCGTTACCTTCGAGCATCATGCGAGACACTAGGAGCAGGTGAGCATACATGAGAAGGGGCTCGTAAACGAACAATTTCTCACTAACATCTCACTGCGCGTTTTCTTCCTCTTTAAGCTTACCATCACTGCCGTGAGCTCGGCCAATCCGCTGGATATCCTCACCTCTGTAGATCCCTAAATCGAGGACCAGCAAGTCTTTAACATTAAAAGACCGTTCGAGGGCGGGTCTATTACGAATCAATAAAACAACAGGAGATGCTGGCTCTTTGCATCAACAAATATCTTTTGCATCGCCCTTATGAAATACGACCTGGGGGTCAAGCATGGATTCTGGCGGTGGTATGTTACGATAGACGCTTGGATGGGCGAATTTGCCTATTAGGCAGTCGTCGATACGCAATTCTATAGCAAGGAGATGAAGGACGCGTTAAAAAAGAAGCCCGTTTTCCTGCTGTTGTGGGATCCTATGGGCTCACTGGTTTAGACACAACTATCTGGCTCTCTAAACCTGGTTGAAAAGGAAAACAAGGGCTAATACTAGCGTCTTATCTATAGAGTAGATACTTCTGACACCTTACTATAGCTTGAAGATCATTTTAAAGGTGCCCATCGGGTGCCGCGCCTTTTTCAGCCCGTAAAATGAAGTATTAGATGTTATATTTCTGTGCCCTAAGTCCTGCATTAACAGCTAGCCGCTATACATAGCCCAGCTAGCTAAGAGTACTGCAGTCTAACTTACTTTGTCACGATACCGACTATCTACAACAACCGTGGCAGGCAGGTGGTGCAAGGGCCGCAGCGGGCGGACGCCTCATACGCAGGTGTAAGGGGCAATGCCGACATAGAGTATCGACATTGGCGGATCTTTTCCATAACGGGTGACTTCTCCATCACTGCCACCCCTCCGGGCCGTCTGACAGCAGAAGCCTTTTAGTTAGCGCTGCATAGCTCTGTGCATCCTCTTATATAATTGTCACATTCTTAAACGTCATCTCGAAACGGGTATAAGTCGACTGTTAGGGGTTCGGGTGGTCTAGAGGTAGATTGCCCGATGGTTAGGTTGTACTGGACTGGGCAGCCAGCAATTCTGAGACAGGGACGTGTCAGAAGCGAGGGTTGCTGTTAGCTTCGACCATGCTGTGGCCTATAGCTCGGCTCCCTTTTTGGGCTCCTGAGCTTGTAATTAGTCTTACAGCCTGGAGTGAAGCACACCACCAATGGCAACTAAGTTAGTTATCGTATCATCTGATCACTGAGGTAGCAAAGACTCGCAGAGACTCGCAGAGTCTCGTCTCTGCGATGCATGTAGCTATAAATCACTTCATGACCATTGAGCTAAATGTGACGCATCAGGCAACGCTTGGCGTACTCCCAAGGACTGCCGTACAGGCCGTTCTCGACATCGCCCCTACGCTTCATGGCATCTGTATGATACTCAGCCAGTAGCAGTTCTTTGCCCTTGAGACAGCTCCGTACGCAATGGCCCCTCCTCTTTCCAAGCTATGTCTGTCATTTGACCGAGACCCTTGAAACAATTCCAGCCGCCTTCGTCGCAGAGCTAACTAGTGGGAGCGGCTGAGATGCCTTGTTAGGGTAGTAAAAGCGATGACGGCAGTAGAGAGCTTTATCTTGAGGAACTTTTGTCAGAGCTGGGCAAGGTATAATTAAGTTTGCTGTTCTTGTGGAATTTAAAAGAGGTTAAGCTTGAATTGCGATAAGAGTGAGTAGGTGGTTGACGCCTAAACTGAACAGTCGTATTATTGGGTATTTAAATTATTGGGGCCTTTGCGTGCCTGCTGAAATAGCCCATTGCCCTTATCTCTACCTATAGGCAACGTTAAATTCGCGTTACATCTTGCATAGCCTATACCCTCTAAGGACCCATGTTGTTAACCCTATATACTGCGGGTCGTATGCATGGTGTTACGGGTAGACATATGAATAGCCTATGCTCTCAAAAACTTTAGGCTATGGGTTTTCTTAACAACACACTTGACCATTGGCTGATCAACCCAAGTAGGCAGCATGGGCCAAGCGAGTTTTTGAAACACACGCGGCCAAGCCTAGGCCCACTATCTACAGGGAGTCTTCTGTCCATAGAAATACGCACCTTGCCGGACATTGATCTGTCAGTTATGTGAATCCTAGATTGGGAAGCTGGGTCCAGACTTGGAAAACTGTACAAAGTGGAGCACCGAGCTTTTTGCTTAGTAGGCGTTGCTTTGAAGTGATAATATTGACTCATAATCCACAAGCTTATGAGGTCTTGCACCCAGCATCTACGCGTAAGGGTCACTCACCAGGTAATGGAGTTGATGAAAACCCTCCAAGACGCCTACGTACGATCCTCGGGGAGTGTTATACTGTCTTGCTGTAGGTGATCCTAGGCGGCCAACTTGATCTTCGTTGAGATAGATCAATCCAACTAATTCACAGATTAGCAAACATAACTGCAACAAGGGCACCAGTGGCCCACCATCTATGAGTGACGCCTAGGCGGCGTTGGTCTGGTTGTTGGGCGGCCCCCTACACCATAAAGGGTTTTGTTCATGACTGAATAGTCGTATCGCCACCGTCGCTGCCACGAGGGTAGATTCTGTTGGCCAACATTATCGCAACTTTCATACAAGCTCCGCCCTATGTCACTTTCTTGGTCAATTAAAGAGTAATCGTTGGAGAACATAATGCTTGTACCTTGGCCTCTGCTTCCACATGACGTTAGGGATATTAAAGGCTGTAAGCTGGAGATGAGGGAGTTGAGAGGTCCAGGGTGCTAGGTCTCTCGCTGATATATGAGCGCTGACGAATGTTACCGTGTCTTTAATATAGTTATGGCTATTGTGCATAGCTTCTGCACGCCGGATGCACCTCACTGTTTATCACAGCATCAAAGAGGGGCCTCCGGCTCGCAGAGGGTATGCACCAAGACGATCACCTCTCGCACAGGCAATGCAAATTAATCCATAGCCTGCCACTGGCTATAAGTGTAGCAAATGGCATTCACTTATCCA